TAGAGAGTTTTCCGCCGCCTGCACTTGGAGTGAGCAACTTGGCCTTGTTGGGCGTGCAGCTGGCACTTTACAGCAGTGGTGGAAGTGTTATCTACCCTCCCATCCCTCACCCAAGCCATACCTGCCATCTTGACTCTGGGGAGGAAGCAGAGAGCGGGCTAAGACATTTTCCTTAATGTACCAAATATTTTTCTCCTCGGAAGGGTACTGTGATATATTATAATACATTTATGTGTAGCGTCGCATATATGGTTCTTTGCCACATATGTGGCGTCTTAATTAAGATATCCCAGAGCATCAGTGTGGAGAATGTCACATATATCGCCATCACAGAAAAAGGGGCTTTATTCAGGAGAACGTGATATGGGTTTCGTGTGTGTGTGTGTGTGTGTGTGTGTGTGTGTGTGTGTGTGTGTGTGTGTGTGTGTGTGTGTGTGTGTGTGTGTGTGTGTACTCGCCTATTCACCTATTTGTGCTTGCGGGGGTTGAGCTCTGGCTTTTTGGTCCCGCCTCTCAACCGTCAATCAACTGGTGTACAGGTTCCTGAGCCTATTGGGATCTATCATATCTACACTTGAAAAACTGTATGGAGTCAGCCTCCACCACATCACTGCCTAAGGCATTCCATCCGTTAACTACTCTGACACTGAAAAAGTTCCTTCTAATGTCCCTGTGGCTCATGTGGTTACTCAGTTTCCACCTGTGTCCCCTTGTTCGTGTACCACCAGTGTTGAATAGTTGTGTGTGTGTGCGTGTGTATTTACCTAGTTGTGCTTGCGAGGGGGCTGTCAATCAACTGTTCCCCCCCCCTCCCAACCCCAGGAAGCAGCCCGTAACAGCTGTCTAACTCCCAGGTACCTATTTTACTGCTAGGTAACAGGGGCATCAGGGGTAAAAGAAACTATGCCCATTTGTTTCCCGCCATCGCCTGGGATCGATCCCCGGTCCCCCAAGGATTACGAATCCCGAGCGCTGTCCACTCAGCCACCAGGTCCCTGCGTGTGTGTGTTGAGGCGGGGGGAGGGGGGGATGCAAGAGTGTCGGGTGCCCCTAGTGGCTATCCGTCATGTTTTCAAGACATGAATGAAGATATTTAACCGCCCCCTCTCCTCCTCTCCCCCTCTCTCCCTCAGCATCCCTCCCTCACCCCTCCAGTACTCCCCCCCCCCACATCCCCCCTCTCTCTCTCTCTCCTTCCCTGGGTCCTCTTATTCCTTTCTCTTGCCTCTTCTTCCCTCATTGGTGGCATTATTGCTTGGAATGTTGAGGTAGAGAGTGGTGGTGGCGGCCCTGGTGGTGGAGAGGATGGTGGTCTGATGCAGTGTTGTCTCATGGTGGTAGCTGGGGTGGTGGTAGTGGTGGTGTGTAGTGGTGGCTGGTGTGGTGGTGGTGGCTGGTGTGGTGGTGGTGGTTGGTGTGGTGGTGGTGCTAGTGTAGTGGTGGCTGGTGTGGTGGTGTTGGTCCTGGTGTGGTGGTGGTGATGGTGGTCGTGGTGCTGATATGGTGGTGGTGGTTGTGGGTGGGGGATGGTGGTCATGCTGGAGGTGTTATCGTTGCTGTTTAGGATTATGGGTGATTGGGTCGTTATCTAGTGCTGGCTGATGGTGGCCAAGCGCCTGTTAACGGTCCAGAGAGAGAGAGAGAGAGAGAGAGAGAGAGAGAGAGAGAGAGAGAGAGAGAGAGAGAGAGAGAGAGAGAGAGAGAGAGAGAGAGGCATTCTAAACATTTCTGGTGCCACTTTTGAGGTCACCAGTTCGAGCCTCAGCCTGCGGTACGAAACTGAAAAATGTTTCAGAATTATCTGAGTGTATAGTGTAGTTGGATCAGGGAAAGAAGAGAGAGGAGATAAAAGGACGAATAGAAGAATTAAAGTTAAAATAAATGAAAAAAGAAAAACATAAGACTAATAGCGATAGTAGTAGTAGTTGTAATAGAAGTAGAAGTAGTAGTAGCAGCAGTAGAAGTAGTAATAGCAGCAGTAGAAGTAGTAGTAGCAGCAGTAGAAGTAGTAGTAGCAGCAGTAGAAGTAGTAGTAGCAGCAGTAGAAGCTGACAAAGGACTGCAATGAAGGAAGAGACAGCAGATGAACATTGGGGCAGACACAGACAGGCAGACACAGACAGGCAGACACAGACAATGAGAGCAACCTGGAGGATAAAGACGGGGAGCTACAGGAGGCTGACAGGGGCCGCCAGGAAGGAACAGACAGACAGATTGGACCTGTTAGCCACTTCGTTAATCTTCTCTGCCAATAAATTCAATCAGGACGGTAGACAGACTCGTTCCACAAGTTTCCGTTCACTTCACCGTACAGCCGATCACTAGACGAACCCCTCTGAATCATCCTGCTCGAAACTCTCGCAGATTTCCACCATTTCCATTTTTTGTGTGTAATTTAATCAATAATTTTTCCCTCTTTAAAACAAAAGGTGATCAATTTAATTAATTTTTATTTAATTGGAAGACGCTGGAGAGTGAGATGCTGACCTGCTCTGGCGGACGAAGGTCTCCAGAGACCTTCGAAGATCTCCAGAGACCTTCGAAGATGGACGAAGATCTCTGAGAAAGGCGGGGGGGCCTTGGTCGCATCAGCAGCATATCAGTAAACACATGATTAGGTCGAAGCCGGTAACTCGCACCGGCTGGAATGAGGCCGAGGGTCGTTGTGGCTCTTAGGGAGTGACCTCGTTCACCAGCTATTCCCGCTCCTACGTCAGAGGCTTAAAGGCCCAGTTTGCCTTCGTCGGGAGTTGGTCCTCATGGTCGAGTGACGGGGGGCGAGCGGGGGTTCCCTCGTGAAGGGTAATGCCGCAGTGGAGAGGGGGGGAGAGAGAGAGAGAGAGAGAGAGAGAGAGAGAGAGAGAGAGAGAGAGAGAGAGAGAGAGAGAGAGAGTGGGGGAGGAGGAAGGGACGGACGGGTGGACAGACGGACGGACCGACGGACGGACGGACGGGCGGACGGATGGACAGACGGACGGACCGACGGACGGACGGACGGGTGGACAGACGGACGGACCGACGGACGGACGGACGGGTGGACAGACGGACGGACCGACGGACGGACGGACGGACGGACGAACGAACGAACGGACGGAGACGGAGACAGGGAGGGAATGAGGTACGAGATAAGACGAAGGGTATAGTTGAGTGTCTAGAAAGAGAGGAGATCGTCTTAGACCCTAAGGTAATATAACTGATACATTTGGCTATTGCGTTGAGGCGTCCACCAGTTTTCATAACTAGATACATCAGGAGATCCATTAAGAACTTGAAGACAGTTATTAGAAAACACGGGGATATATATTTTAGTTTACCCTTCAACAAATCAGCGTTCTCTTTCATTAGAATTTTTTTTTTTAATCAGCTGATACAAGATTTTGACGTTTAAATTTTGATAATTGCAGTATATACTTAAATCTTAGATTAAGAGAGTCTAAGTTATCTATTAAAGGGCGTATTTGTTTTTTTAAATAAATACAACTTTTTGTAAGTTTTAATTAAAGTTTTCTTTGGTTCCCCTTTATTTTGTATTTTTTTTGCGGAGCATTCAAAACGATTAGTCTTTGTTTTATATTAGTGTTTCAAACAAGTTTATTTAAAGTTATTATTTATTTCAATTGTTTTGTTTATAAGTCTTCAGCAGTTGTTTTATTGTGGTTTGATTTTTTTTGTTTGCATAGTTTAAGTTGTTCCATTTGTGTCAAATGATTTATGCATATCCTGGCTTGGCATCCAGTCACTGTTCCAACTGACTAAGCCGTGTGTATAACATATCGTACGTTGTAAAGCATGGCGTACGTGGTAAAACATATCGTACGTGGTAAAACATATCGTACGTGGTAAAACATATCGTACGTGGTAAAACATATCATACGTAGTAAAACATGTCGTACATGGTAAAACATATCGTACGTGGTAAAACATATCGTACGTGGTAAAACATGTCGTACATGGTAAAACATATCGTACGTGGTAAAACATATCGTACGTAGTAAAACATGTCGTACATGGTAAAACATATCGTACGTGGTAAAACATATCGTACATGGTAAAACATATCGTACGTGGTAAAACATATCGTACGTAGTAAAACATGTCGTACATGGTAAAACATATCGTACGTAGTAAAACATGTCGTACATGGTAAAACATATCGTACGTGGTAAAACATATCGTACGTAGTAAAACATGTCGTACATGGTAAAACATATCGTACGTGGTAAAACATATCGTACGTAGTAAAACATGTCGTACATGGTAAAACATATCGTACGTGGTAAAACATATCATACGTAGTAAAACATGTCGTACATGGTAAAACATATCGTACGTGGTAAAACATATCGTACATGGTAAAACATATCGTACGTGGTAAAACATATCGTACGTAGTAAAACATGTCGTACGTGGTAAAACATATCGTACGTGGTAAAACATATCGTACGTAGTAAAACATGTCGTACGTGGTAAAACATATCGTACATTGTATTAATTTCTTGGAAAATAAATATGGAGGCCGAGGCGTGTGGCGGCTGGGTTACCGGCACACACACCTGAGGTACTGAGGCCCTGGAGGCCAGTGCTGAGTACCATATTGTATGGGTACCCAACGTAGACTATTCTCACACCTCAACAATACTATTGTTGTGGAGCAGCACCACCCAATGATTGTAGTTCCGTCATTATATTGTGTTTATTCATTTAATTCACCCATTTTCTTTCAGGTTTTGCTAAAATTCGTGACACCTATGTCTTACAGTGTTGTCATAAGCCTAAGGAATAATTTTAAATTCAGTTTTAACATAAATATTAACAGCTGGTTTAACGCAATTGTTTTTGTCTTTGTAGATATGATAAATGCTGTTTGACAATGCTGAATGATGATGCGATAGTTCTCGAGGTATTCAGAATGCTTACCATCTATTCTGAGCATACCAAAGACCAGTGTCTCCCGGGTAAAGGCGACTCCTGACTCACCAGTGTTACTTTCTCACCCACAGGTGCCAAGGGCGAGCCTGGAACCAGAGGGAGAAGAGGCAAGAAAGGAAAAGACGGTGATGCTGGTCCCATGGTAGGTCCTTCCAATCTCGGTTAGTCACTCCTGTCAATTTTTTTTAACCCCATTTTCTCTACCTCCTTGATTGCCCTTCCCTTCTTTCCTTTCCGTGTAGCCGCTCTTATCCCCATGCTCTCTGTCTATTTTTCTTTTCCATTAACTCTGTTAATCTGTATAATTTACTTGAGGTTTGATTCTTATTAAATTATGATTTAGTACAGAAATATAACTATTTTAGAGTTAAGTGGAGAGAGAGAGAGAGAGAGAGAGAGAGAGAGAGAGAGAGAGAGAGAGAGAGAGAGAGAGAGAGAGAGAGAGAGAGAGAGAGAGAGAGAGAGAGAGAGAGTATTCATCAAGAATGTAGGAGAAATTACCCTAAATAATAATAATAATAATAATAACAAAAGTAATAATAAATCCTTCTATTGTAAGACCCAAATGAATGACATTTGTCCAAGGCCGGATAAACACACAAAAAAAGCATGCCGTTTATCCGGAAGACGCCGCAGTGTGCGTGTGTGTTCCAATTAACCGAATGGTCTCCTTTATTTCAGGGTCCCAGCGGTCCCCCGGGGAAAAACGGATTTCCGGTATAATTATTATTCCGTTTTCTTTTAACTTTTATCCCTCCCGTTCATGGGTAAACTGTTCCAGACTCGCTTGTCCACCCTCTCCCCGGCTTAGTGTGTCTTGTGCCTGTTGGTATATATTTATAATTATAGTTTATATATGTATGCATTTACATATTTTGGTGTTGTATCTATGGATAATGGCGCAGAGTCCTGCATAGTGATAGAGAGTTGATATGGCCTTATCCCAGTGTGTGTGTATTTAGCTTGATCGTCCAAGATGACTGCTGCATGGGTAACTGCATGGCCGGCTACCCCATCTGGCTTCTTGGAAAAGTTTTATATCCGAACCTCGATAACCCGAATATGAGAAGAGGGGGGAAGAGGAGGAGGAAGGCCATTGAGAGGAATAAATGTGGGGGGTGGAAGGAGAAGCAACAGGAGGGAGATGAAGAGATGGGCAGATAATGTTAAGCTCAATGGACCATCGGTTAATTCGTATCCTGTATAGCCGAATAGCGAATTATCCAAAATATCTGTCTTTCTTAGTGGTGATTTATTGATAGCCCTGTTTAACCGAAGTGCACTTTATCTCGTACTTGTGCTATCCGGTTCTTTGGTTCAGGTTCATAACACAGATGACCTAAGTATCCGATTATTAACATATTGGTTCAACAATAGGTTATTAATGGAAGGAATGATGTATTTCAAAATATTTGTAATGTCTTTGATTTGTAATTCATCATTGTTTGAAATTTCTTATCTCTGATGATTTTTACATATACATTACAGAGAGCTGTTATGTCGGCTCAGTTGTAAGCGCTTTCCTGGAGCTCTTGAGCTAGGTACAAGGGTGAAGGTGAACCCGGCTGTGTACCAGAGCTTCCAGTGGCCAGATTCACGAAGCAGTTACGCAAGTACCTACGAACGTGTACATCTTTCCTCAATCATGTTACATTTATTAAACAGTTTACAAGCATGTAAACTTGTCAATCAAGTGTTGTTATTGTTATAAACAGCCTCCTGGTGCTTCGGAGCTCATCAACTGTTTAATAATTGTAAACAAAGACGCAAAAGATTCATAAAAGATGTACAGGTTCGTAAGTGCTTGCGTAACTGCTTCGTGAATCTGACCCCCCCTTAATGTAACACCACTCTAAGGTAACACCACCCTAAAATGTACCACTATAATGGAACACCACTATAATGGAACACTAAACTATCCTGAGTAACACTTCCTCATCGGTTGCACTTGATAACACTGTTATGAGCTGACATATGATGGTTACACCGGAACCAAAGGTACACTGCCAATAAGGAAATGCTAACACAAAGATTAAATACGCTGCCACCATCTGCCTTTGACCATTGAAACTATATCAAGCAACGAGGCAAGAAACATTGCTTGACTTGGAGAGTACTTCTATGACTGTCATTAATTATGAAAACGGTTGTCAGCCACTATATCCAAAAGGCTAAGAGGATTCAACAATTGACACAGACGGGAAATTTAACGAGTTTATTGAGACCAAAATTATGTCAATCACTACTTATAAATGCTACACTAACACTGGCAAAAAGTTAAGAAATTTGGACATGGAACAAAAACTCAGAGATCACACACATTACCTTAAGCTATCTCTCTCCCGGGCTGAGATGTTCTTCACAGCCCCGCTTTCGATCCCGGTGTACCGCCCTCTGCCTCTCCTATGTTCCTACAGGCCCTCTATATACAACCCCCACAGGGGGAGGGGGAGATCTGCTGTTGCTACCCACCAAGAGTGTACAAACACTCAAGAAATATTTCAAAAAGCTTGTTTGACATTCACCATACACTCTTCAAGAGAGGAGTTATTAATTACATATGTGACTGACCTCTGACCTGGCCAAAAGGGGGAGATCCAGGGATGTTTACACATAAGAATCTGGAGTCTAATTTCCTTGCATGAAATATTACATACTTGAAACTATGCTGACTAAGACTAACCCAGGAATTTTTAATCAATATACAAGATAAACCGGAGGTCATCTGGGCTGACCTCTTGGAGAAGGCTTCCCTGGGTGTGAACTCTAAGGGGGGGGAGGTCCTGGGTCTCAATAAACTCGTTAAATTTCCCGTCTGTGTTACAGCTCCTTTTCATAATTAATGCTTGATATAGTTTCAATGGTCAAAGGCAGATGGTGGCAGCGTATTTAATCTTTGTGTTAGCATTTCCTTATTGGCAGTGTACCTTAATTTGGTTCCGGTGTAACCATCATATGTCAGCTCATAACAGTGTTATCAAGGGCAACCGATGAGGAAGTGTTACTCAGGATAGTTTAGTGTTCCATTATAGTGGTGTTCCATTATAGTGGTACATTTTAGGGTGGTGTTACCTTAGAGTGGTGTTACATGACAGGTACTAACACCCAGGTACCTATTTTGCTGCTAGGTAACAGGGGCATAGGGTGAAAGAAACTCTGCCTATTGTTTCTCGCCGGCGCCTGGGATCGAACCCAGGACCACAGGATCACAAGTCCAGCGTGCTGTCCGCTCGGCCGACCGGCTCCCCAAACTGGTGGAGACAGTTGCTTGAGACTTGAGACAGTTATAACTTGACAGTTGCTTGAGACTGGTGGGTAGAGACAATATGTACTGTCAAGTGCCAGAAAGCTCTTGACCGCCTGAAGGAGTCGAACCCTGTCAGTCAAGCTTGGCATCTTGGCATGTCCAGTATCCCAGTTTCCATTAGATATACTGTCAATTACATCTAATGGCAGCCATAACTCTTACTGTTAATATTATTTTGGTTGTCTCTGATGTCATCATGTTGCACTCATCAACAATATTGGACACGTAGTTGATTGACGGTTGAGAGGCGGGACCAAAGAGCCGAAGCTCAACCCCGCGAGCACAATTAAGTGAGTACACTGTAGAGTGAGTGTATATATTAATGTAAATCATACCAAAGTATTAATAAATTCATGCAATTTCTGCACGCAATCTCACTATAGATGGCGTGATGCACTTCCGCTCACCTAATACAGCACCTTTTCAACTGTCAAACTATTGTCTTTTGCTCTCCTTTATCAGTACAATCAAATATGTTGACCAGACCACACACTAGAAAGTGAAGGGACGACGACGTTTCGGTCCGTCCTGGACCATTCTCAAGTCGATTGTCGACTTGAGAATAGTCCTTGAGGTACTTACCTTGAGGTTACCTTGAGGTGCTTTCGGGGCTTAGCGTCCCCACGGCCCGGTCGTCGACCAGGCCTCCTTGTTGTACAACAGGTACAGATACAACAAAGGATATCACCAGTGAATGTAAATGGAATGAAAGGAGTAGGAGAGGAAATTCAGTATAATAATATAAGCAGATTATCCGCAAGAATGTGGGGAAAGAACCATGAACAGGTATAATAGATATACAGGTATATCTGTATACGGTATACAGGTATACAGGAACCATGAACAGGTATAATAGATAGATAATAGATAGAAAGATATACGAAGCTAGTTCCATCCACAGTTTTAAAAAAAGGGAGACACGATACAAAGAGGTCAGGAGTCGTTGAGTCAGACAGTTAAGAGGCAGGACCCAAGACCTACAACTCAACCCAGAACAGTCTTCATGGTAAGTACAGCTGCTAACTACGTACGCCAGAAACAAGCTGGGAACGAGAAAGAAATTAACAGTTAACAGTTAACTCACAGTTAACTGTGAGAAAGTTAACAAATGAAACAAATATTACAACAACTACAGTTACAAATACAGTATGTCAATACACGGAGGGGCAAGGAGAGTAGGGGAAGTGTGTAGGAAAGGAGAGGGGGGAGGGGGGGGAGATAACGAGAGGAATGGGGTGGGTTGGAGGGGAGGGGGAGGGGGGTAAGAGGAAGGAAGGAAGGAAGGGGAAGAGTGAGATAAGAGAGCAGGACGGGCACATGAGGGAGGGAAAGGGAGATGTCTGCAGGGTAGATATGGGAAAGGTAGAAGTGGCAGGAACAGAAAGCGACATGTGGATAGGGAAGGGATGGAGGGGGTTGGGGGGGTAGAGAGACAGACGGACGATAGCACAGAGTGAGAGAGAGACTCTTGGAGGGGAGGGAGGGAGAGAGGGAGTTATCAGGGGGAAAGCGCCAAGCCATTAGGACTGTATAGCACTAGGAAAAAGTCAGAATAAGGCTTTGCGATGGGACGGGGGAATGGAATGGTGCCCAACCACTTGTGGACGGTTGGGGGATTGAACGCCGACCTGCAGGAAGCCAGACCGTCGCTCTACCGTCCAACCCCAAGTGGTTGGTTTTTTTAGCGAAGGTCAATAACAACAGGAAATATAGGAAATATGAGCATTAATTAAACAAAAATCTTTTGAAATTCATGATCAACATTATTTAAAAAAAATGACACTGAATAGAATGCTCACTGAAACCTTATTAACGTGATGTATCAGTGAGAAAATCAGTAGGAGCTGTGAGGACGATTCGAACCTGCTCACTTGGGGCTCCCAAGGTCACAATATGTCGTGATGTAGACATGACGAGGGCTTCGGAGCACCAGGCGGCGTTCGTGTTATATATATATATATATATATATATATAATATATATATATATATATATATATATATATATATATATATATATATATATATATATATATATATATATATATATATAGTTTAAAGTGTGGCCTTGAAAACATGTGGTGTAAGAGGGTATCAACAGACAAGCCTGGCCCCAGGCCCAGCTTGGCTACTTAACACCTCTCAGTCTCTACTACAGTTACAGATACACTACACAAGTGACAGGGAGAGAGCACAGCAGGGAGAGGGAGAGTACAGCAGGGAGAGGGAGAGAGCACAGCAGGGAGAGGGAGAGCACAGCAGGGAGAGGGAGAGCACAGCAGGGAGAGGGCACAGCAGGGATAGAGGGAGATGGGTAGGGAGGCAGGGGCGGATAGTTGAACTGATGACGAACATTACCTTAATAACGTTCATGTGTTTCTCCTTGTTTAATTACATTCTCACCCCTCCTACTCCTCCTCCTCCTCCTGCACCTCCCCCTCCTCTCCCTCTTCCTGCACCTCCCCCTCCTCTCCCTCCTCTCCCTCCTCCTCCTCCTGCTCCTCCCTGACCATGAGCTAAGAGGGTCGTTAAGCAGTAAAGAGCAAGAGGTGTGGAGGAGTCAATTATGACCTAACTCGGGTACAGGGTCGTTTACACCCTCCTTGCTTGTCTGCCTGTGTGGGAAGGGAGACGGGGAAGACAGGAGACAGCAATAGGACAGGGCCAGACAGTAAGAGGGGTGATGCAGAGGAAAAGATGTGCTTGGAAGGAGGAAGAATGTAAAAGATTGAATGGAAGAGGAACAAGTGACCAAAGGGAACACTATAAGGAAGGGTGGATACAAGCAGACGATAAGAGAAGATGTAAGAGAGTTGGGAATGGGCCGAGAAGGAGCGGGAGCAGAGAAAGACGAGGGAGAGGAGACAAGGGAAGAAGAGGACGAAAGAGAGGCTTGAGAAATAGAGACGATAACGACTTAGATAAAACAAATATTTCCTAATCATTTATACAATATTGTGCAAAATGTGGAGAAAATGCCAAACCTCGCCGAAGAGGCAGGAGAGATGAGAGGAGATGAAGAGAGCCTTGTGATGCTCTTTCTTCCGTGTGAAGCTGTGTAGTGGATCTATCTCACCTGTTTACTCTTTGAGCTTCATAGTGTGATGGCTCACAAGAAATGGAAACCCGCTTTGTGTTATACATGACCGGAGTTCGCATCCCGGACTTGGGTTTACACACACACCTAATACTGTATTAATCATTCTATAACATCTTTATCTTAATAATCCTCATATTTAATATTCTCAAAATATATAACAATAAATGTTACAACTAATACTGCCAAAATGTAGTGATATTAACCTTAAAAGTACAATTTGAGGTAGTTTTAAAATAGCGCTTAACAGTTTAGACATGGCAAACAATGTTTAAAACAATAATAACGGCTTTCATTGCTTTCTGCCAAATATAAAAATTAATATTAACATTTTTTGTTATTGATAAATGTTTGTAGATAATCATAGTTGCCCATTGGAATGTTTATAACGGTTTAAAAAGAGTGGTGTAGTTTATTGCCGGCGTTCTTGTGGCCCCCGGACGGATCTCGCGCCTTTACCAAGTCGGATTAATAGCAAAACTCCCTCGCTAGCTTCCAGTCGGATTCCTACCACGTTTCTGTAATCGCCTTGTACCACGAATTGGTTTCCTCTCGTCAACTAATATTAATAATTTTTTATTCAGCTCTTTCCCTTAATTTGAAGAGAAGACAAAGGAACAAGAAGATAAAGTAATTATCAAAAATAGAGTATTAATCAACCGTCACCACCTCCCCCTACCGTCATGGCGGGCCGCGAGACCCAGCCGCTGCTAGTTTTAACACTCGCGTCTTGAGCAATTGAGGCTGTTGGTGGTGGTGCTGCTGCTGCTGCTGCTGTAGGCGGGTCAGGGCCGCGACCCACACCACACTAACGGCGGTTTCTCTGTTTCAGGGACATAAGGGACACCGCGGCTACCCTGGTTTCCCGGTGTGTGGGTGTTTTATCGTGGGCTTCTGTAGAGGGTCGGGACTAACACTATCTGTCGCGCACTTGATCTCTCTCTCTCTCTCTCTCTCTCTCTCTAGAATAATTATCGGCAACTTTCCGCGGCATCCTTAACACCCTATGTATATAATATATATATTATACACACACATACTTTAAATATAATAAGTTCATCGTCTAAAGGCAGCGCAATAGCCACTGATTGTTTGTAATTAGACGGATTTGTTTTCGCCGACTGTGACATTTTAATGTTCTTGTTTCGTCTTCGTATTTCTTACCCGTCAGCCATGAACAGATTTTAAAATTTCTTTGGTCTTTGTATACTTCTTGTAACGTTGTCTACTCCGTATTTCTTCCCAGTTTTTTGTTTTGCTATTCTATAGCCATCTTGTATTTAATTAGTCTCCTCTGTGCCTCTTATCCTTCTATTTTTTACCTGTTCCTCTTTCTTAGAGTAGTCATCGCTTCGTGTCCATTTCCAATCTTCTGTATAAACTTTTTTATTTTGTCTGCTTCTCCATTCCTTCCTATCTAGCTGAATGTTTCCCTTCCTATTGATTTTCCCTATCGTCTTTACTCCTTCTCCCGCTTCAGCGATACCTAACCAGTAGGGGGTTGTTGCGATGCCGCGGGAAACCCGTCCAATTTCCTTCTAATACCGACTAACTGCCAACTCGTGCACTACGCGACGCCACCGCCATCTGTTGCTCGTGTTTCAAATTAATTGCCCCCCTAAGGTTACGACAGGGCTTAGTGCGGTCCCAGTCCCCCAACCGCTTATATTCGATGTAATATATTTGTTATAATTGTGTTCAGGCGATCGTTAGTCATCACGAATTGGCTGTTGTACTAATCTTAAGGGTGGAGGTGTTACAGACTGGTGTTGGGGGGGGGATGAGCTTAGTAAGGGGGGGGGGGCTTTTGTGGAGTTTTGTTCTATTCAGGTTTCTGATAGGGTGTAATTTGCTTTAATTAGCTTTATGGCACATGCTTTTGCTTTAAATAACACGTATTAAAAATATTAACATATTAGTAAAAGTATAAAAAGTATTTTTCAAAAAGTAGTTAACTTTGGCTCTTTAAGGGCCACGCGCCTCAGTGTCCAACTAGCCAATATTACAAAAAAAATTTTTAGAACAAATATATATATATATATATATATATATATATATATATATATATATATATATATATATATATATATATATATAATTTATTTTATTCGCGAATGAGACTGACACATCTAAAGCTTGAACGGATAAAAAAACTCGTTCATATCCACGTATAATTAGGTAGTTGTTGCTGGCTACGTATTCTTCAAATATTTTTATTGATGGGAATTATTTTGGCTATTATTGTTTAGCTATTTTTTTTATATATAGCTAATTGTTACGCAACTGTTTTGTTTGGTATGAATGTTGGCATCACTAGCTATGTATTGCCTGGCATGCTGGCAACACTGCTGACTCAAGTGGAGTACTGCTGACCCCAAGGTTCTTGCGCCTAGTATATTCTATGCTAATTTATGCTTTGTTCGCTTGTCACAACCTTATTGCACAGTGCATGATATATCAGCTGTAAAAAAAATAATATTTATACAGTATTCAGCTATGAATTTCAGATATTCATTAGATGTAATGATCCAGGCATACAAAGTTTATCTTTATTAGTATTAACATTCACTGGAGCTTTGGCATGAAGATAACAAGGGCATATAAAATTCAAATTATAACAGACACAGAACATCATTTGTACAGGTTGCTGAATGTCCATTTATATATATATATATATATATATATATATATATATATATATATATATATATATATATATATATATATATATATAATCTTAGGATTTTTTTGTAGATTGTAATATTTATATTAATTTCAGGGACCCATCGGCCTTGATGGACCCAAGGGAGAACCGGTGAGTTGCCATTTAACTTCTGTTGCTTTCACACACACACACACACACACACACACACACACACACACACACGCACACGCACACACACACACACACACACACACACATACACACACACACACACACACAGGCGGGACCAAAGAGCCAGAGCTCAACCCCCGCAAGCACAATTAGGTGAGTACACACACACGCACGCACACAGTACCGACTATAGTGAAACATTTTGTAACACTATTACCATTAGTTATTAAATATGGGTGGAAACGACCGTAGACTTTATAATAAATTTTGTCATCATTCTGCAAAATCGTGTTATAATGCAAATTGAATATTCATACAAGTATACGCATTAGTCAAAGATTCATTGTATCCTTTGTATTAAGTTTCCAAATAATGATTATGGCTCAATTTAAATTTTATTCACTTTAATCTTTTAGCGTTTCATATTTTCTGACAATTAAAGAAAATGGTGTTATAATTGTAAGCGTTAACTCATGTATTCCTGCCCTTTCCGGCAGGGCATACAGGGCCCTCCAGGAACACCGGGAGAGAAGGGCAGCAAAGGCGAGCCAGGCAGTGGCTACGATATTCTCTCCAAGGCTAAGGTAAAATCTCTCTCTCTCTCTCTCTCTCTCTCTCTCTCTCTCTCTCTCTCTCTCTCTCTCTCTCTCTCTCTCTCTCTCTCTCTCTCTCTCTCTCTCTCTCTCGTGACCACCGTGTTTTATTTCATGTTAATATTTCTCTGTCTACTTAGAGATCAGGTCGAGTTTCTTTGTGATGTTTTGACTCTTTTTTTTTATGTCTAACAATTTCTCCGCCGCCTTGTTCTTTGCACACGTCGCAAACAACAATAATAATAACAACATCGGTATTGCTTTGATATAATTACTGCAGCAACAGTATTGATTTGATATAATTATAGTATTTTGTATTCAAAATAACTTTCCACTGTTGCCGTATGATTAAATTACTGTAACTACTGCGGTGTCTATTACTTATGTTATAGCTGCTGTTTCTTCTACTAATACTACAATTACTATCAGTACTACAACTACTGCTTCTAATACTACTACTGTTGGGACAATGTCATTTATGTTATTACTAATACTATCGTTATTACTATACTGGCGATAACGGTAGTTGCAATCACTGCTACCACTACTGTTATCAGTTGTGGATCTGCACTTGGATTTGTGAGTTGAGTGGATTGATGATGCGTTAATCCCTCTGGAAAAACACTTCTTTTGGGATTTATAGTGATTAAGATTAAATATATTCATTAGTTTTTTTTTTACAATGACAGGCCGGATTCGTTATGTGGTATTTTTATCATATTTACAATCATGTGAGCGCAGGCGATGAGTCACAATACCGTGGCTGAAGTATGTTGACCAGACAAACACTAGAAAGTGAAGGGACGACGACGTATCGGTCCGTCCTGGACCATTCTCAAGTCGATTGTGTAATTCGACACAATCGATTCGAGAATGGTCCAGGACGGACCGAAACGTCGTCGTCCCATTCACTTTCTAGTGTGTGGTCTGGTCAACACTCATGAGAACATATGGAATCTTAAGAGGTTCAGAAGCGCGTACGACCAAACGGCGCACGCATCGTGTTCTTCTTTTATTTCTCACAGATCGTATTTTTCTATCGTAACTAAAAGTGAACTATATAGTCAATTTATATCACGTGTAGTCCTTTTCCCCGTTGATTTGGAGACGAGGAGATGTAAAATAAATCACTGATGCATTTTTTCCGTCTGAGATCTTGACGTCTTGGGAAATTAGGTCACGGGTGCTGTTGACTTTAATGCCTTGTGCCTATTTTTTGGTGCTCACAAATAGTTAAGGCACACTCAGTTTATTACCCGTTATTGGGGTCCTTTGAGTGATTTACATAGTTCTTGCCAGTGCCTACACTTTATTTAACTATCGTAAACCAGTAGCTTCTCAAAATAAAATGTTGGTTATCGTGGCATTTGTTTACGTAAAATATAAATGAAAACTCTCTTTTATCTTATACAAATCTTATTAAAATATGTAACTTAAGAGGGAAGAAACTTTAATTTCGTTAACCTTGAATGTCACACAATGTATATCATTCGGCAAGATGACACATAAGAGCCAGATTTAATTAGCAATATAGATATATGACGCAATCAAAATATTAGAGGAAATATAAGCAGAAGTCGTCAATGCGAGGCTCTGGCGTCCCCAACCTTCCCTGCAGGTCTCTGAGAGGGGCTCCCGGGCCCAGTAATCCGCTTAGGGGAATCATATTCAACCTCTTGAAGGACTCATCCTCGTCTCCTTCATGAGTAATGGAGCACATTTACAATTTTAAATTTTGTATAAGCGTGTAGGAGAGATCGCTGTAAATAAATAAATATATATATATATAATGTTTTCAACTCATAGTGTTCATTAGGAATGGTGTTGGTGGTTCCTAATGAAACTACAAGCTAAGATCTGTCATCGTACATCAGTTCATCTGTCTCTCTGGGCCTCACCCGTCTATGCACGTGTGTGTGTGTACGTGAGTACACATGCGCGCGCGCGCTTCCCAGCTGAACGATTTTAGCCGTGTAATTACAATTTTTTCGCGCGAATTGGCACTTTTAATTAACTTTGTAATGATGGAGACATTTCTCAACAGCTTTGTTCTTCAGAGTTACCTCTGGCAGTCCCTAGAATCTGTCTTAGTATATCAACTATAGTTTTGGTTAATTAACTATGATGCTGGCTTTATTAACTGTAATACTGGGTAATTAACTGTAATGTTAGCTATATTAACTGTAATGCTTGGTATATAACTATATGGCTGGGGATACAGTATTAACTACATGGCTGGATATATTAACTGTGTTACTAGGTAATTAGCGCTAATGCTCGATAATTAACTATAATGCTGTCTAATCCTAATGCGGGGTAATTAACTGTATATTATTTCATAATTACTATTCTGGATAATTAAGTATTATGCTGGTTTTTCAATGATAATGATGATAATTAATTCATTCCACTGCTCGGTTTATCAATTATAATGCTAGATAATTATGATGATAGTGTATATATATATATATATATATATATATATATATATATATATATATATATATATATATATATATATATATATATATATATATATATTACACTATTTTAAATTTAATTATATTTTATGTCATTTCCGTTTTTTTATTATTATTACTACTGTACTTTTACACATGAAATAATGTTTTTAGTTTTCTACTGATGTAGGTCATGGCGGCAATACTTTTCCTGAAGAGTTTCTCTTAACATATCTGTATATCTTGGTGCCTCGCTCGGTACTAAATACTATATAGCATATAGTTCCATAATTACAGCCAGATGGACGTAAAATTTACTTCCAAACGTCGACGGCTGACTCCGCGCCCCTAACGCATTAGGGGAAAAAAGACATAAGCAGCCCAGTTTTGAATCCGCTGTTTATATTCGAATGCTCGTGAAGCTTAACCCAGAACCCCGCTCATATTTTATTTCAGGGCATTAAAAGGTCTATAACAAGCTTGGAGGGTGGCACCTTAGGCTATGCAGAAATCATCGCTATTAAGGTGAGGCTACGCTGGATCCTCAACTCACAGGAAGCTTGCCTCTACTAATATTCTGCATTTTTCTCCGGTGTTCGTAACACTGACTGTAGTTGTACACCATATTTAATCTATTAGTGTTTTTTTTTTAAGTTGAGGGGGGGGGGCGTGATGATGTGTTGCATGACTATCATAGCAGCTTTGGTTTATTAACTGTAGCCGATGTCCTTGTGATGTCTTTGATGTCCTTATTACTTATACAGTACTTTTATTAAGGCTAATTTTTGTCAACCTGTGACGTCATAACTGTAAACATGTCAATTTTTTTGTTGTTGTCCCTTAAAACAAGTGAAAATTTTTAAACAACATCAACGATGCTCATTATCATGTGCTATCAAAAAAAAAGTTTTTTTTTGCGATGTAGTATATTAAATGATTACAGACGATGAATCACAGTAACGTGTTAGAAGATATTATGACCCATCCTCACACCATGAGATGGAGAAATAACGATCCGTTGGTTCGTTGTTTCTTCGTTTTCTGATGTGGGGTTTGGTCGTCAAATGATTTGAGATCTATTCTGACACAACTGCAACTGTTACTTTTAATGTATGTACTGTATTTCTGGCATTGTAGGTGTAAATAAAGTACTACTCATGTCTTTCCCTAATGCTAGTGTTTGTGTGACGCCACAGATATATATATATATATATATATATATATATATATATATATATATATATATATATATATATATATATATATATATATATATATATATATATATATATATATATATATATATATATATATATATATATATATATATATATATATATATATATATATATATATATATATATATATAACGGATGTAGTGATTACTGTAGTGCTTTACATATGATGTATTCGATGGTAACTGCACTTACATTGTATAATAAACTTTCTTGTAGTTTCTTTATTGTGTTATACAGTAATACGATAGAAGCATTTTTAGCCCTCCCACATCTGTTGGTGGGCTATGCATATTCCGTATTTTGTTTGCCATAAATGCTTATTTACCTAAAAACATTAACCTTTCTTATTGCTTGTATATTTGTTTAAGAAAATCTACTCCAAAGCTGCATATAGATGTAGAACGTTTGATTATTTTTCTCTTATTAGATCTGTTACTAACACGAGTTAAACTTGGAATTTGATGTGCTGAATACACTAATTTTTATTTTATTTGCAGACATCATTGTTATTTTTGTTTATATACTAATCCCAGCACTCCTTCTAGAGCACTGTCCAGTCATCTGTGTGTGTGCCTGTATCTTCTCTATGCCGGCACACCGCCATAATTACTACCACACATCGTCAGTGTACAATATTTAATAAATCAGTGTTGCACCAACGCCTCTCAGAATGAGTCACAACTTTCCACGATAGCTTTATCGTTGGTTCATCTAACATGTTTCTTTTTTTGCTGGTTTGATTAATGTGAATGAATATTTGTTTCATTAATTTAATGTTAGATGCCCCTCTTTTTGATAATTACTTGACGTTGTTCTTCTTTTAATCATTTCTTGACGTTAGTTGTATTTTTCGAAATCCACCAATGTAAACAAAAAATATTTGAAATTTGGCTTATTTTTCTTATGCAGTAATGTAGTTATTTAATTTTAGTTTCTTAAAATAATACGAACTTAAAAAATCTGGACATATTAAGTGCTGCAGGACGTTAAATATATTTTTAGTAGCTTTTGTTTAATAAGATTTATATGTTTCTGTTAATTAATGCAGTGGACTGAGGATATTGACTCAACAAGGAGGCTAAATAAAAGTTCTAAGTAACCTAGAAAAAGACCTATCCTAAGAAACTAGGTTAGGTCTAGTAACCTAAGAAAAACAAACTATGTGATGTGGTCTGCTCTTAAGTGGCGTTTTCTGTGGTGCCGTCTTGACTCTTTATGTCTTATGCCCTTGTTGCAGGGAACTCCAGGAGGAGTCTGGGATTCCATAGACTCTGATAGAATATTAGCTATTAAAGTAAGTCTTTTTTTTTACTTTTGTGTTTTAGACATGCACGGGGTCATGACATGTCTGTATGAAAGTATTATACGTTCTTATTAAGATTTTAATGACAGTTTCTCTTCTAACTTCTCTAGTCTGTCCCCAGTAAAGTTCTAATTTTTAAATACCTATGCATGTTATCATTTAACCTGATGCATAGATAGATATTAGCAAAATATAAAGAATTAAAACATGTTGGGGGGTTTAACAATACATGTACTTGGGTTACAAGAATGAATGAAACATTTGCACCAACTTTGAATAGATGACTTCTTGAAGATACAACGCCAGTTTAATTTGTAGTGCAATATATGTACAGTACTCATAAGTTCTCAAAAGTACATTTCAATCTAAAAAATAATACAGGTAATACTGAATTTTGTTTACGAGACAATACAGTACAGTAACAGTGGAAACCTGACTAAATAATCTACCATTATTTCACACTATAATTCTTTTAAATGAATATTTAATGATCGTAACTTGTTTACATATGTATAGCCATATTAGCTTAATGCTTGCTTTTGATAATTACTTACAATCACTTTAGAATGAATGAATGGAGAGAGAGAGTCTGTCACCCATATGTTGGCATATATTAACCTTTCCTCTTGTAGGGAGACCCAGGGAGTCCGGGCCCCCCAGGGAGTCCGGGGCCCAGTGGTAAAGATGGACTACCTGGCATGGACGGCAGAGATGGGTACCCTGGAGAGCCAGGGCCCCCTGGAGAAACGGGTCCGGTTGGTGCGGCGGGGCCCCTCGGACCTCAGGGTCCACCCGGCCCTCAGGGCCCTCAAGGGGAGAGAGTGAGTACTTGGCCCCTTAATTCTTCGCTTGTTGGTATGGCTTCTCTACTTATTATTTAGTCTTATAGTTATTTAATTATCTGTAATTAAATAGGGGTTTAAGTTGGTATTTCTTGTGGAAGTTTCCTCTTAATGTTAGATTTGATTTTTATTGTACCATGCACTATGATGGTCTAAATTTAGCGTAGCTTGTATACTAGTTGGTGCCGGCAGTTACCTCCTACAAGGGTGAATACAGGATGTTATGTATAGATCATTATAATGTTAAATGTCAGTAACATCTTAAAAACATTATAACCATAACGTAAATGATTTAACAAGCAGTTACGCATCTACTTGCGACACATGTTCATCTTTTCTCAATCTTTGGCGGCTTTGTTTACATTTATTAAACAGTTTACGAGCATCAAAAAAACAAGTCCATTATGGGTTCACCATAGCCTGTGCTACTTGGAACTGTTTGTTCCCAGTAGCTGAATCTAAAAGTTTAGTTCATTTATTATGCACCCCATACGCATCTTGTGGGTATGGGGTGGAGGAGGCCTGATCGACGACCGGGCCGCGGAGACGCTAAGCCCCGGAAGCACCTCAAGGTAACCTCAAGGTATGGGGTGGGCGGTAGTGGAAAGGGTTACAGAGGCACATAATGGGCTCAGGGACTGAACCCCACAATTCATTTACCTCAGCAAGTTACAATCTTGATGGGCTAGTTACAAATTCAATGCACATTGTCACATGAACAATGGGCTGGAGACCGACCACAAGTACAGTTTCTAATTTAAGCAACTGACATATGTAGAACTTCACAGTTAAATGTTACAGTACCTGGATGAGGTTCTGGGAGTTCTACTCCCCAAGCCCGGCAACTTATGAGAGCTTGGTCCAACAGGCTGTTGCTTAGAGCGGCCCGCAGGCCCACATATCCACTATAGCCCGGTTGGTTCGGCACTTCTTGCAGAAAACTGGCCAGTTTTTTTCTTGGAGATTTGTACTTTTGTTCCGGCAATATTTCTTATACTTCCTAGGATATCTTGAGGTTATCTTGAGATGATTTCGGGGCTTTAGTGTCCCCGCGGCCCGGTCCTCGACCAGGCCTCCACCCCCAGGAAGCAGCCCGTGACAGCTGACTAACTCCCAGGTACCTATTTACTGCTAGGTAACAGGGGCATTCAGGGTGAAAGAAACTTTGCCCATTTGCTTCTACCTCGTGCGGGAATCGAACCCGCGCCACAGAATTACGAATCCTGCGCGCTATCCACCAGGCTACGAGGCCCCATGGATACGGAACAGCCGTGGACCTCTGATGTTCATACAGTGTTATTATGGTTATAAACAGCTTCCTAGTGCTTCGCAGCTCATAAACTGTTTAATAGATGTAAAGAAAGCTGCCCAAGCTTGAGAAAAGATGTGTACCTTCGAAAGTACTTGTGTAACTGCTTGATGAATCCGGCCACGGCACGTATCTAAGGAATAAATGCATTTCCTACAAAACATAAATATTAGTGAGTATTCTCAATCCTTTTAAAGTCATTATTGTACTGTACTACAGTTGTCTAATTATAATTAAAGAACGAAACTGTAGAGAATATTTGTGACTTACAAATACAAAATAGATGCCCTTTGCATTATTTCCTGAATCCACCCCAGCTGTGTATGCCAAGTACAGCTTTCTCACGTGTATTTAAAAGCTTCGTCTTATCAAATTGCTTTGTTACTGCCTTTTATGATGCTTCCGACTTATTTTACTGTTGTACATGACAAAATTTTGTTTATTTAATATTTATGAATCCTTTTTAACCACCAGCTCACAAAATCTTTTGCTCTGACAAAGCTTGGGTAATCGGAGTGATGTTCACATAGTTGAAATGACCTTGAAGAGTTGCCGGATTAAATTGATTTGCCTACATAAATGGTGTGTCCATCTCTTGACAACACAATATTGATAATTAGCAAGTACTGTACAATACTATCTGAATTTACCCGAGGGCCACCATTTTCTCTAGTAGCCTCGCTGGGGATAGGAAGCCAGTGGCCAATGACCGTGTCAAAAGCACCCCGATTTATTCCCTGATGATTTTTTCCAGCTGGATTTTGAATTCCAGTATTTCTTGGTATATATGGCTTTGGCGGGTAGGTAGTTCCATAGGTTTGCAGCCCTATGGGTGCATCTCCTGTTTTTTTATTCTATTTACCTGAGGGTCACTGACACTAGTAGACTTCGAGGAGGACAGGAAGCCGGCGGATTGTCAAAGGTTCCCACCATTTGCCTTAATCTTTTCCAGTGGGATCTTATAAATTGAACAGAGTTTTGGCATTTACTGTATTGTGATGACTTGTTTTACGTATATACAAGTCACTATACAGTATTGTGACTTATTGAGCTGGAAGCCATTGTTCCTTGTATGTGTTATATTTGGCCTTTTAAAAAAAGTGGTCTGTATCAACATCCTCCAAATTGTTCAGTATTTAAAAGTTTCGATATCAGTTCAGTCATGTCTGGTTTGCTCTATTAGTTCTGTGGCCTCAACCTTTGCTGATATGCAAGATGACTGTTCTGAGATGTTTTTTGTTGCCTGGTGGAACTTTCTCCAAAGCAGATATATCTGCTGGTGTCCCGTCTTCCCAGCACTCTGTCTTATAACGCTTTCAAATTACTGATGGTTTTGGCCTCCACCACCTTCTCACCTAACTTGTTTCAACTGTCTACCACTTTGTATCTCATAATCCTGTATTATACCTTATACCTGTATCTCATAATGTACTTTGTTTTTTTGTGGACTGCTGCCTTTTCTAGAGGTTGTACTTGGTTGTTAGCAATTTTTTTTCTTTTACTGCCTTTGTCGTCCACCTATTTTTTTTTTATTTTTCTTCTTTCTTGAGGTTATCTTGAGATGATTTCAAGGCTTTTTAGTGTCCTTGGGGCCAGGTCCTCGACCAGGCCTCCACCCCCAGGAAGCAGCCCGTGACAGCTGACTAACACCCAGGTACCTATTTTACTGCTAGGTAACAGGGGCATAGGGTGAAAGAAACTCTTTCCATTGTTTCTCGCTGGCGCCTGGGATCGAACCCAGGACCACAGGATCACAAGTCCAGCGTGCTGTCCGCTCGGCCGACCGGCTCCCGTGTACTTTCTTTCTTGGTGTGTACTTTTGAACAAGTTCAATGATAACCTTTTTTAAATTTTCTTATGATAATTCCATGCCTTAATCTATTAACTCCATCTAGGGGCTATTTTGCAATTCATCTCTCATTTTTTTGTCTCTTTTGAATCTGTTCTAGAAAGTCATCATCCCTGGATGTTAACTTGGGTTTCCATAATTGTAGTCCATCTCAGAATATTGTGATCACACAAAGGGACCGGCTCCTTCCCTACCTGGATTTCATCAGTTTTGCCCTCTTCTGATGTTAACACAAGATTTAGAATGCCGTTATCTTGGGTAATTACCTAAGTGTAATTACCCAAGTGTAGTTACAGGATGAGAGCTACGCTCATGGAGTCCCGTCTCCCCAGCACTCTCTGTCATATAACGCTTTGAAATTACTGAGGGTTTTTGGCCTCCACTATCCTCAGATCCTCCACCCATCCAGAGGGTGGGCTCTGTCACATGCAGCTAGAAAAGGGAGTCTTGTATAAGGTCAAGAATTGTTTTGCCTACCACTTGTTGTGTTAGATTCACCTAATCTGGATTCTTAATCTAGAACCTAATTAGATTTCAATTCAGATTCCAGTTCAGTGATTGGGTTTCATCTGCAGCATTTATCATATTAAATCAGTAATTTCCTCTGCTGTTGCAGAGTCTGCCCTGTAGCACACTCCCACTCTGTTTACTACTACTATATTTTGATCTAGTAATTTGCACTATACAGATTCTGAGGATCCCAAGGTGTTTAGTTCCTCATCGCTGGTTGCAGTCAAGTCCTCTTTTACATATAGCACTGCCCCACCTGCTTTTGTTGTTTTGTCCTCTCTGATAATTCAGTGGTATCCTGTAAGATAGAATTCATCTTCAATTATGTCTTTTCTTCCCCATGTTTTGCTGATCCCAATTATGTCATATATTCCTGAATTGCAATTGTGATAATATTACTAGATTAGTGAAAGAACTGCTTTTGGAACATTATTTTCTTATCTGTCTTGAATCGGTATCACCCTTTTGGCTTGGTTGGTACAGTGATATGTACGTTTGTATATATCACTGTGTACAGTGATCACATATATTGTACAGTGATATTTACTACCTATCTACCACAAGGTAGGTAGGTAGGATATGACCCCCCTCACTTCTTGCATTAGATACTTGATGGTTAACGTCATTGGACACTGTTCTTCCTTCATATTCCAATTCTTATTCTGTCCTTACATGCCTTCCAAGTTATGTATATAGTCACTCTAGCTTAGCCCTTTATCCTGATAATTACCTTGCCTTGGAAGCTGTACCATTATTGTACTGCTTCATATGTAGTAAGATAAGGAAATAATATTTATGTCACGAGTTTTTACTCAGATATACTTCATGTAACATGGTAGAGTAATGGTTGACTTCTGTCCACATATTTATTCATGTAACATGGTTTAGTTCTATCAACATATTAGTTCATGTTAACACTTTCAAGCAGTGCCTAAGTGCTCATATATTGCTCATATTATCAGTTTACAGCAGTGCAGTGACTGCATCAAGATCAGAACCCGTCATTTGGAAATGTTAAAGTCACTCATGCTATGTGGACACCATTTACATTGCCTCTTGTTTAACCTTATCTGTTATTCCCTTCCTACCTCCGTGATTATGTTGTGTTCGTGATCCCATATCCACGATCCCATCCCTGGATCAGGGTTTTCGGGGAATGATGGGAATTCCTGGCATGGACGGCTTACCTGGACCAATTGGACCACGCGGTTCACCTGTGAGCAAATGTTTTCAGTGCTGTTGGATGTAACTCGGAGTGGGTATTGGCACTGTGTCAGAAAGATGCTTTAAAATAAGTAATATACACAACATGATATGAATATATGAATTAAATATGGCTTAGCATTTGAGAAAGTAGGCTTATCAAGAGAGAAAACAGTGTGCAGAGCTACTAAATAATGGAACATGTGTGCTTATTGGCTAAGTTACATAACAAACATTCAGGATTATTCACTAATGTACACACTGAATAAGTAAATATCTAGAATTATTGACTAATGTACACAACAAATATGCAATATTGACTAATGGTCACTTTAAGTATGAATAATTTTTAACTAATACAGTATACTGTACACATACCAAACATGCTGAGTAAAGTACACACCAGACATGCTGGAATATTGACTAATAGGCACTACAAAAAACATTCACACCATACACCTGCAACAAATAACAATAATGAATATATATATTTAGCAAGCGCAAGTACAAACACGTATGTCCACTTCTCAGAACTGCTAGTATCTACTATCTACATCAACTATTTTGTTCACTGCATAAGGTATTTTAAAATTATTTTTACTCAAGCCATAACTGAAAGATTGTTTATCAACTAACAGAAAGCACTGGGTGAGACGATCAGTAACTATTATCTGCCTCACATAGGCCAATAGGCCTTCTGCAGTTTGTTATTTTAGGTTCCTATGTGCTGGTGTGACATGTAATATTTTTTATTTTTTTATTTTTACATTGTGCATCTTTATATTAACTGTGCCTATACCCCTTCCTATATTGTTCATAGTTATTACACGAGTTCATAAGGTATTCCCTTTTTGTATGAATTTTAATTTTGATATGGATGCAGAATTATTACTTGAAGTTACGTTGATTCTGATCCATTATTCTGTGAAATGTTTGTCAGCAGTGGTAAAGATCAAAATATCCAATATGTATGTGGTGTGGCTTTTAATGTTCCCCTGCCTTGCCCAGGGTCTGGAGGGCAAGAACGGAAGTAGGGGCCCACCAGGACTGCGAGTAAGTTTAGCGTATTCTGCACGCTCACACTAACCTTGTACAGTGCTATTGCAAATTGTCACTTGTAATTCGTATTAGTAGCCTACAGTGGGTCTAATGGTATGGTCATCTAAGGTGTACTTCTTCCTTGTAGGAGGTCTGTATAAAGAGAAATATGCCTTCTTTAGGCATATATAATGTCTTTAATAATATATGCCATACAAATATAGTATTGACAAGCATTACTCCTGGGCACTGAGGAAAATAAATAAATCACAAAATCTGATATTAAAATTAAAATATAAACTCCTTAGTTAATTGTGTTAATTTCTCGAAGCTTTGTAAATTACAGAAATTATGCTTGCTGGGCAAGAAGTTACTGAAATTGTAATAGCACTGTATTACTATTGATGATTATCCTCGGTTAAAGTCATGTGGATCAGATTTTATTTTTTATTCATGAAATTTGACTGGAGTCAAGGCTGCTCTGTTATTTTCAAATTTACAAATATTTTGACTCAAATTTTGCCATTTTTGGAAAGTGCAAATTAGATGACTGTGGGATTGCGTACTTCTTCATGCTTTTTACCATGTTAGGACTTTTGTATGCACTGTTAGATATACATTATATAACACTGGACAATATGTTTGTTATGTCACTGACAGTGTAACAGTTAAATGTAATATAGAAATACTGTACATAAGAGACCCAGCTTTTACACATGTCTGTTAAAATTCTTGATACATTAGATGTTAGAGACTGTAGATGTCTGTACTTAATAATCTGATACTGTACTAATCTGTAAATAGTAGCTGCCTTTGCTAATACTAAATCACACCACTCCATCAAGAACAGCACCCCTTAATGTAGTGAAGTGAATGTGAACAAAATGATGTCTGCATTTCATCTGTACTCATCCCTAGTTTGACAGTCTTAATGTGGATTTGTAACCCATTTGCTCTTGTCAGGAGGCTTAACATCATCTGCTTTCTGTTTTAATACCCTAATTTTGTCTACTTAAACTATTACCTTTCTCAGAGTCACATAGGGAACACAATGAACAATCTTCTGATCATTGAACAACTTAGTGAGTACATGAAATAACATGGTGAAGACACTCAATATGGTGAATAACTCGGTGAATATGATGGCACTGCCTAGTGAGTATAGCACCAGAGTGAAACATTGAACAACCTAGTGAGCAACCTAGCACAGCATCATAGTGAACAGTGTGTACAATCTAGTAAGTACAATATCATAGTGAACAACCTTGGGAGTACAGGCACAGTGAACAGCTTAAAAGGCACAGTGAAGAATCAAAAGTCTGTGACTCTCCAACCTCCGCCCAGCAACTACACAAATATTTTGGGAGCAAAGGGAATGCCTCGACGAAAGAACATGACAGGTTGCCATAAGTGTTATTGAATCGACCAGGTTATGATGGCTATCAGGTATATTGGCTGTTACCACGAATAGCCTTCACATGATTGGGATGGGACTTCACATTGTTAGGATGGGACTTCACATGGGTAGAATGGAGGGCTTCACATGGTTCAGATGAAGGCTTCACATGGTTCAGATGGGAACTTCACATTGTTGAGATACGGGTTTCATGTGATAAAGAGATGGTTGACCATATAAAGACTTTATATGGTCAATTTATAAGATTGAAATAAGAGGCTTTACGTGGTTGAAATAGAAGGCTTTACATGGTTGAGATCGAATTTCATATTGTTAAGATGGAGGATTTATATGGTTGAAATAGGTGGCTTCATGTGGTTGAAATGGGGAGGGGCATTTTGTGATTGAGATGGAAGGGTTTTCTGGTTGAAATAGAGAGGCTTTTCTTGGTTGAGCTGGAGGGATTGAGGGGAGGGGTGCTTTTCATGGTTGTGATGAGGGTTTTTTCTGGTTGAGATGGGGGTGCTTTTCCTGGGGGGAGATTGAGGGAGGGGGGGCAGGTACCTGGCTGAAATCAGGATGGAGAGGTGTTTCTTGGTTGAGATTAGAGGTTGGGGGGCTTTTCCTGGCTGATATAAGGCAACTACTCTGATCGATCTGCTTTTTGTGAGCAAGAAGACATAGGAGAAGCCTTCATTTAAAAAAAACCTAGTATAGTATTGTATTATAATGTTATCTTTTTTTGAAAAAAATAATGCATTATCATAATAATTATGTACAAAATATACAAAGGGTGTGTTACAGAGTTACGATAATTATTATTAGTACAGTATTTTCTGGGAAGACCCCTTCAATTGCTCCCTAAAGCTTGTGGCACTCTCACTGTAGGGCCGAAGTAGACATGCCAAGCTTTCAAGACACTTTCTTCGTACTGGGGGCAAGTGCCATTCCACCATTATGTGATCCTCCAAGGGGCAGTGAGTGAGTGGAGATCAGAGATAAACTCTCTGCCAATATAAACTGCCCTTGAAAATTCAAATATTACAAAACAATCCAAAACTTTCACCAAGAAATACTTTGAGTTCTAAAGCAACCAAGCTAAACTCTGCAATCAACCAAATGCCTCCCTTGGTAATTCTCTCACCTGGCTCCAAGGTGAATGTCATTTCTACTGGGAACTATTTTGGCTTCAGCTAAGTAGCTAGCTATTCTTTTGAACTTCAGCCTGCCCATTTGGGACCTTCCATCTTAAATTCCATAAAATGCTTTGAAGGAGGAAGTGTAATAATATTTGTTTTTATAGTTAACAAATCAAATTGGAAAATATATCATATAGCGATTTGCACACAAAGATGTAATCACAGATAGCGATTGAAGCAGTGTAAGAGTTAAGGCTCCTGTACTTTGATTTGTATCAGATATTTATTTCTACAAATAAATGTGATGTGATAAGCACAATAAGTGGGCAGCAATGTAGAGAAACACAATGATGAGACATTAAGTCTTATCTACAATTAAAGTTTATTCTCATCTAAGTGTTTCTCTAAAAATATATATGTATGTACACAATGCCTACATGAAACCTTTATGAAGCTTTGAATCATGGCATCGTTTATTCTAGCCCATCATCAAATCTAAAGGGTGGTAATTTTAGATGTGTATGTACTGTACAAAATATAGACTATACCAGTAGGTAATACAGTAGTCTGCATTTTGTACATTCATCAGCTAGACTATTTAAAACTATGACTGAGACATGCTTCATTCACTTCCAACCTGTAATATAAACACACCCAAAATCTACGTAACAAAATTACCTTGCCTAACTTTTTCTAGGCCTATTTATAAACCCCCAGTTTATACTATGTAAAATTAATTTACATGAAAACAAAATGTTATTGCACCTTATCAAAAGTGCATCTTAGTTGGTTACCAGAAGTACAAGTTAAATACTGTACTGCTGATTTATTAATGTTGGCAATAGTCAGCACTGTATGTAGTATGTGTTATTGTCTTGGTGTGGAGCATAGTTTCATTTATACAAAATTTAGGATAAATTAACTCGTGTATCATTTAAATAAAAATTCAATATACATACACTATGCATAATGAACATGTTTTAAGTTGTATTAAGAGTTAATGTATCTTAACTTTTGTGTATAAAAAATGCTGTTTATAAGCTGTAAAGGTTTAATGTGGACACTTTGTATAACCTCTTCCAAATATTTGTACCATGAAGATCTTTTGAGGTAAAAGAGGTTCATTAGTTTGTTAATAGCAATAATAACAGTATTGTGATGATTTTTATTCATACCAATTTTCACATGTTGAATTTGTATTTGTTGATTTACTCCTATGTTGTTGATCTGACTTTTTACTGTTGAAGTGTGTAAGATTGTTTTACCAATTCTCCAAGAAAGAAATTGAAATTTTCAGGATCTTTCCAATAGTCTTTCCAAGGAACTTTTGCCCCAACAACACATTTCCACGGGATCTCAACACTTGTCACATTTACATATCGTTTGCCCTAACCTATACGTTACTAATTTTGTTTGTATTGCTATTATTTTTTCCGATTTTTTGTATTAGAATTGTGAGAGCTTATCACTAACTTCATTGCCTCAGTCCCCATCTAGAAATACTTGAACCTTTCTGTAATACTACCTAATATGTTACGTTCAGTGTTTCAATTATCTTCATTATCCGGGTTTCCTCCTTTTGTCTTCTTGGAGCTGTATTTTGAATTTATTATTCATTTGTAGATTCATTTTTATTGCTTTCTGGTTGCTCATTTTGGTAATTATTATAATAACTAATATGGTGCTATATACATTGCATTATCAGTTACCTTGGACTGTTCACCTCATCTTTGAACTTTATTCTCACTTATTTTAATTTTGTTATAAATGCTAGCGTTAAAAAAAAAATCTCATTACATATCTATTAAAGCTAGCAGATCTTCCTCTCATCCCATCCTTCAGTTCTCTTCCATATTCCATCCTCCCTATCTCTCCTCTTTTTTTGTTTCTATCATTCTGTCTTTAACAAGACAGAATGCTTCTCTCTCTTCACCTCTTTTTTTTTCAATTCATGCTTTTTCCCTCCTGTCCTTTTGTCAACATTCATCAACTTTACTTTACATCATGCCTAACTGCACTTATTTAACTGCATTATATTTTATTCAATTCACTCCGGATTTTTCTGACATCAACACGCTTAATAATCTATTTTTTGTAATCTCCTTTCTGCTTATTCCTGCATTTCCTCTTACTACTTCTGTGTGAAACTCTATTTAACTGCTATGATTGGTGTAGCTTTTCCTCTATGTTTATTTCCACACCCAAGTGTGTGTGTTAACACCTTTACACACTATACAGTACTAGTATTTTCCTCATACTTATTGCCTGCTGTCTGGACTTTAGGACTTAAACTTACTACATAGTTCTCATTTTCTCATGTCACACATATTTTGGCCATTCTTATGGTTCTGTCCACATTAACCCGTAAACAACTTCATGCTTTCTCTTATTATTTTTGTTTACTTTTGAATCTTTATCACCTTATCAGTGTCTTACCATCTTAATCACCTTTCTGATTTCATAGCATGGTATGCTTTATTTTGTCTCCACTGCTGACAGCCAATGGTCTACTCATCCTCCTCTTGGCCCACCTTCATATCACTTCCTTGCAAATGCCTAACCCCTCCTCCTATATCCTGACTGACCCGCCATGGCTCCTCTCCAGGGTGAAAAAGGGCAGAAGGGTGACCGCGGTATCACCACCGTCAACGGGAAGGAAATTCCTGCTGGTATTCTTGAAGGACCCCCAGGTCAGCCTGGTAAGTTTTGTTAAGTTCCTTTATTATTTTATTTTTATTTTACACACGCACACATACACACCACAAAATAAAGAATAATGAATCGGGAAGACAAGACTTTCAGTATGGAAACTCGATATTATTAATGAATTGTTGTCAGTGATATCTCGTCGGCGAGCAATCTGTATTTTTAAAAGTTGAATCACTATTTTTCTGTATTTTGTGTACAAGATGATTGTGATCCAGCTTAATTTATGTTCTGTATAATGTAGATATAATTGTAAATTAATTTAGTGACTTTACTGGCTTTGTGAATCAAAAGATATACAAGTATGGATGTATTGTATGTTTATAAATAAAATACAGTATCTCAGTTTGAGTTTGATTAGAGAAATGTAATCTCTTATGATACTGTAAAAAAAGAGGGTTATAGGGAACTCAAATATATTGTGAGATATATTACACCCTGTAATCCTTAACAACACATTAAATTCTAAGCAGTCCCTCACTGGGCTTGATTCTCTCTCACTTTTAAATTGACTGTGCAAGTTTGTCTGTGGTTGCTTAGACAACTTTTATTTTGTGAATATGCATTGAGTTCATTGCCTTTGATATGCAGGAAGTCATCTTCTGCATGACTACTTCTGCAGGTAAAGAAACAAATGCAAAATGCTTTTGGAAATGCTTTGATAATTACTCTCAGGTTTTTAGTTTATGTATGTTTGAGAGGTGACCAAATCATTTCTGTAAAACATTGCTCATATTGTGATTAATTATAGATTGATAGGTTGTCAGGGATTTAAATAAAGACATGTTTTATGTTACCCAGCATTTTGTATTAAAACAGAGCATGAAGCTTATATGGTAAATATAAAGCTTCAGTGACCAAAACTTGCCATATGTTGATTGTTTTCTGAACCTTAAAGAAATGCTTCAGTATCAGTATATTTTTTGCAAGCTGCCAATTTTTTTTTAAGTCAGTTCAATAGTATAAAATTGATTGTAATTTGTAGTTTTGTCATTTTTTTTAACTTTAAAAAAATACCAGTGGCACAAGGTATTAAAATAGATGCTTTCCTCGGTCGTGACAGGTCCTTCAGGGCCACCTGGGGTCCCGGGGGAACAAGGACCAGAAGGTCCAATGGGCCCCCCTGGGTTGGACGGGGAAGAGGGGGCTCGAGGACCTCGGGGAAGGAGGGGAAAACGGGGCAAGAGGGTATGTACCATAATCCTGACTTGATACCCTCTGTGGTGCGGGGTATGCCAGGCTGGCCCAGGCTTCTACACACTTTCCATGTTTTGCCACAGTAGATGAGCCAATTCAAGAAATGAACTTTTTCTATCATGCATTCCTATCATGTTATTGTGATTTGGGCAGCTTTCTTTTTCTAATATGTCAATAAATGGCAGGTGTGTAGTGGACTCGTTTTACAGCATTCAGTTATTGTTCTTGGTGGTTATTGTGTTCACTATGACCCGAACACTTATGAAATGCTGTTCAACATTGCAGTTGGCATAACTTAATCCACACATTCAAAACTAGTTCAAGAAGTGTGGCCGAGCAGGTGAACAAATCAGCCCTTTAAGTATAATTTAAATAGTGCATATATTATCATGGATATTATACATGAAAATATATCATCGGTACATGTCACGTAAACAGTTTAGTTCACACCTCAGCTTCACTTCATATTAATGCTTGGTTTAAAAAATGATAATATAAATAGTGCATATATTATCATGGATATTATACATGAAAATATATCATCGGTACATGTCACGTAAACAGTTTAGTTCACACCTCAGCTTCACTTCATATTAATGCTTGGTTTAAAAAATGTGAGTAAGAATAATCACTAATATGAAAACTATGCTTTCTATGCATCAGTACTGTAGTTGTATTCAGACTAGTGTTTAATAACAGTAAATAGATGGCCAGAATGTCGTAATTTCATCATTTTATTCTAGTACATGTATATTGTAAGATGCTTGAGATAACGCCTCACATGCTATTGTAAATTGTCACCTAAAATTTGCTGGATCTGTCGTTGTGAAAAGTTTCACCATTATAATTATTCTAAATTAATTTTATCATAAATAATAACATACATGTATACATCTCTGTATCAAATATTCCTTCAATGAATGATTGTAATCACACACTGATCATCAACATGCACAAAAATGTACATGTGCGTTAATTACGTAGGTCGCCATATTTGCGTAAAAGATGTGTTTGAGTGTATGTGTGACATCATTGTGCCTGTACTTTCCTTCCCCAGATTCCCCTCAACCCTTCAAGTCTTTTGTATATTACAATGTGTTGTTACTAAACTAAATGCTGCATTTGTACCTTGCTTTTGCATGGATTAGTTGCTTTGTTTTTTGCACAAGTGCATGCCCAATGTAGCATACCACTTCCACCCATTTTTAATTTGTTACTTTCAGATTATTAGTTTGCTGTCTTCCTAGCTGTGCTCGGTGGTTGATAAGCCAGGGCTAAACTGTACTTAATTTCTGCTTATAGTTGGTTTTGGTTCCTTATCGCAGTTTTAAGTTCTCGGTGGTGGTTGCAACTAACAGAAACTGGGTTCCTTATTTTCCTTGTAAGCTGATTTGTGATTGGTCAGCTGTGGTGTTGGTGTTTGTCCTGTCTCCACCTTCTCCAGTCGATTGACCAATGGTCTTTCGGCACTGTGACGTCACTAACCCCTTCACCCAATCTGATGTCAGTAACCCTGTGTTCGTCCTGTTTTTTGTGTAAGTATAATTGTGTATTTGCATAGTCCTAGTAAATGTTATGTGTAAATTTAGCTGTAGTTACTAACATCATTAAAACAGTAAACATTAATACACTAACATTTTTAGAGAAACTTATGTACAGTATACCGTAGTATGAAGCCAAAACGGTACATTATTTAATGTAACAATGACCATTCAGACTTGTCACCTACATTATAAATATGAAACTTTTAATGTATATTTTTCTTTAGTTATTAAGTTTCTTCAAACAATGTACAGTCAGTTTGAGATTGGTTTTTATTGATTTTTTTTAAATGTTCCTAGAATAAGCCTACAATGAATTAATTTTAAATATATCCTATTAGAAGTTTTTATTTAATTATATTTTGCATAACATTCAGTACAGTGCTAATAAAGTTAGAGTAAAATTTATACAAGACAATGATATCTAAAAAAAAAACATGGCCGAGGTTATGCTGGTAAAATTAGCTGTTGTTCATGTGGATGTGTGGTGGCAGGGACGGCGGGGTGAGTCTGGGAGAGCAGCGGCGCAGGGACTGCCAGGAAGACTGGGGCCTAAGGGGGAACCAGGCACAGTTGGCCCTGCGGGAGAAAAAGGTTAGTGTGTGTGTTTGTGAAAGGTGAATGACAATTGACACTTCTTAATACCCAGTGTACTTGTTAAGGAAAATCTGTTAATTCTGTTAAGGTAAGGCAGACTTAATGTTTACTGGAATACCAGTTATCTTGTGTCATCACAGAAGAACAATGTTGTAAACAGAGTACACATTTTCTTCATCACTTAAGAGCTTCATAATTTTGAAAGACTAAACAATAAATATAAAATACATGAAAGAATTGATGGGATGTTCTTTTCACTTTAGTTCCATGGGTTTATAGCTCTATGGGTGAAAAAGCATCTCCTGTTTTCAGTCCTATATTGTAGCTTGTTCAACTTGAAACCGTTGCTCCTCGTATGAATTATATCTGACATTATAAAGAAGTGGTCTGATTGTATATCCTCCAAATTGTTCAGTATATTAAAAGTTTCATTGAGTTCAGCCTTGTCATGCCTGGTTTGCAGTGTCATTAGCCGAAGAAACCTCAGCATTTCTGGTATCAGAGTTGACTTAGTCCTGGAATGATTTTTGTTGCCCACTGTTGAATTTTCCCCCAAGCAGGTACTTTATGACCTCATCATCATTCTGAAAATGAGGTCTCCATGCTTGGATACAATAGTCTAAATAGGGGTGCACCAGATATTTATACAGTTGAATAAATAAATTTCCTTTAAAGTTTAAGGATTGTTTTACTATTCCTAGTTTTTTTTTTTTACTACAGCTCCCACTTATTGTGCAGCTTTGTGATTGGTAGATCCTGACTCTAAGGCCCCTTTTTCTTTGTCAATCTGCTGCAAGGTAATGTTGTTGATTTGGTAGTCATTATGTGCACTGTTTTTGCCTCACATGCTTGACATCACACATCTGCAAGCTCATGGAAAGAATCCTCAGGGAGGGGAATAATTCACCATCTTTCAGGGAATGTACAGTACCTTGTGCAATTGACAAGGTACTGTATAAAAATCAGAGGTCCACAGTTGTTCAACATCCTCCCAGCGAGTATAAGAAATATTGCTGGAACAAACATGGACATTGTCAAGAGAAAACTAGTAGTTTTCTTCAAGAAGTGCCAGATCAACCAGGCTGTGGTGGATATGTGGGCCTGCGGGCCATTCCAAGCAACAGCCTGTTGGACCAAGCTCTTACAAGTCAGGCCAGGCTTGGGAAGTAGAAGAATTCCCAGAACCCCATCAAGCAGGTATCAAGCAGCACACCACATGGAGTTGTTAAAAACAGATCCTGCCTTACAAGCTTTTGGAAATAAGGTACCACATGAAAGACCAAAGCTTTTGATAAGGTACCACGTGAAAGACTGGCTAGGAAATTACAGGCCCATGGAATAAACGGTAAAATATTAGAATGGATAAAACAATGATTGAAGAAAAGTAAACAAAGGGTCATGCTAAATGGAAACGAATCTGAATGGAGAAATGTGATAAGTGGGGTGCCACAAGGGTCCATTTTAGGACCTACCCTTTTTGTCATATACATCAATGACATAGATGAGAATATTACAAACCACATCATCAAATTTACAGATGACACAGATTTATGGTGAAGTGAGAAATGATAATGATATTGAAGCCTTACAAAGAGATCTACATGAACGCCACAAATGGTTAGAAAACTGGCAAATACTTTTTAATACCGACAAATGCAAGACCATGCATGTGTGGCATAACAACCCATGCCACGAGCATTACATTACAGCAAATTGATGAAGAAAGGGACCTTGGAGTCAAGATCCACCACTCATTAAAAGTTGCACAACAGGTGGGCATAGCAGTCAAAAAAGCTAACCAAACTCTTGGGATAATCAAGCGTACTTTTAACTATAAGGTAAAGAAGGTAATGGTTCAACTGTGTAAATCTCTGGTGATCATTTGGATAACTGTATCCAAGCATGGAGACCTTTTTTTCAGAAAGACATAGCTGCTCTGGAGAAGGGGCAATGCTGGGCAACAAATTTCATTCCAGAGCTAAGTCATCTCCTGTATCAGGAATGGTTGAAGGCCACAGGGTTAACAACACTGCAAACCAGGCATGACAGGGCAGATCTCATTGAAACTTTTAAAATACTCAGTACTGAACAAGTTAGAGAATGTTGATCCAGATATTTTCTTCAGAAGGTCAGATGTACCATAAAACAAGGAGCAACAGTTTTAAGCTCAACAAGCCACAATGTAGGACTGAGAACAGGAGATGCTTTTTCACCCACAGTGTTATTAACCTGTGGAGCTGCCTACTTGCCAAAGCCATAACTGCTAAAACTGTGTCCAGTTTTAACAAATACCTGGAAAAGATCAAGGCAAATGGGGGAGGGGTAGCTTCGACAAGCTGCCGGCTTCCTGTCCTCGTCGAGGTTACTAGGGTTAGTGACCCTTTGGGTAAATCAGACATGACAAAAAAGGTTGGTACCAAAATGGAACTTTGCAGTACCCCAATCATCACACTTCTCTAGTTAGGTTCATTTTGTTTTATACAACCCTTTATTTTTTTTATTTAACTTTTGTTTTATTCATTCTAGTATCTCAACATTTATTTCATGTGCTTTTAATTTCTATGCAGTCTTTCATGTGGTACTTATCATAAGCTTTGGTTCATGTATGGTAAACTATTGAATGTGCTTTGTCTGAATAGTGGGTTACCATTTCCAGAAATGTGAGCAGGTTTGTAAGGCATGATTGATTTTTAACAAAACCAAGTTACATTGACTTTAATAGATAGTTTACAGTTAGGTTGTGAATGATTCTCTCCCTAAGGATTCTCTGTGAGCTTGCAGATGTATGAGGTCAGTCAGGCTGATCACACAGTAGTTTTCTGCTGAGCTCTTTCTGCCTATTTTTTTTTTTTAATGAGGGTGACATTTCCATATTTCCCATCCCGGAGTACTATTCTTTGGTCCAAAGACTTTCTGAAAAAGTGTTATGGTGGGAGACATAGTTTATCTGCCAATTTCTTTACGACTTTGGATTGAATTCCAGTTACACCTGGGGCTTTTGATTTGGCAGTGCTCCTGATTACATCACACATTATGGGAATATTCCATCACATTTGTGTGGGTATTGGGATATTGTCTAATCTTTCTAGTGTGAATACTGATGTTTAGTATTAATTCTGTTTGTTAGCTGCCTTTTTACGTCTGTTATAACTTGGGTGGTCTCATCTTTTTTAACGATCTACAGAGACTTTTGTTTTGGTTTTACTTCTTATACTGTATGGTCATAGAAAGACTTTGGATCCTTGTTTTGGACAACTTTAGTTTCATAGTTTCTTTTGGCTGATCTGAGTTCTTGGGTAGTCGAATTTAAAGTCATTCTGTATATCTCATAATCTATGTTGTTCTTTGTGGATTCATACCTTCTCGAGAGGTTGCACTTAATTATTAAAGCTTTTCTGTGGGGAGCCCTTCCGGCTGCTCGGAGCTTACCGGGCTGGTATGTATGTACTAGACCATGGCATCAGTTGATTCGAGTTATTGCCTACCGGGGACCACGAGCCAGAACCTGGTCCCCCTCAGAGAGGCACAAGGAGCAATGGCCTATGGAAACCCACATGTATTTGGAAGCATTCCCTGTCTGCCATTGACCGGGGTCTGGCACCCAGAAAGGTAGGCTTGATGGTGTAACGTTACAAACCCCACATGGTAAAAATCGCTACCAAAACCCGAACAGAGAGGCAAAACTCCCAAACTAAAACAAGCAAATGTCACTAATGCCGTCATGCCGATTGTCCGCGCAGTCTTTCCCCCCCCCCCCTCCACTCCCCTCCCCTTTCCCCTACTAGCTGTGACTGTTACTTGGAGTAGCTGTGACTACTCCAAGTAACAGCCTTTTAGATCTAGCTATCACAAGGTGGCTTGATCCAAAAGACTGTTGGGAGGGAGAAAAACACTTGCAATCCACGTCTGCTATACTCCAGATATTCCAATGGAGCCATATCAAATTTCATCATTTGTCTGGAAGACCAGACAAATTTGACCTTTAACTCTTGTCTTCCTCTTATCAGAATATGGATTCTTCAAGAGGAAAATCAAATATTCCTCCATAACAGTATTTCAGTACTGGTGATTTAGTTCCTGATTGCATGATAAATAATATTCATTAATTTATGTACTGTACCATTATCCATGTACAGGTATTCCCTTGTATTCTTTGTATCAAATACTGTATGTCTAATGTAATACATCATTTTCATCCTTCAGAATATTTAGATTTTGACTGTAATATTTTCATGGCTTTCTTCTCTCTTTCTTTCCCAAGGAGAGAAAGGGTCAACAGGAATTCAGGGTCCTAAGGGTGAGATTGGGCCTCGGGGACCGGCAGGTGTGGATGGTATTCACGGTGAGTCTGGGCCTCAGGGACCACCAGGGCTACCTGGAGCACTAGGCCCCAAGGGTGAGAAGGGTGAATATGGTGACATTGGCCCACCAGGTTTGATGGGACCACCAGGCTTACCAGGACCCCCAGTAAGTGCTAAGGAACATATAAAATTTCTTGCATTTATTATTCTTGACAAATATTAAATGTCTAGTGTGTGTATGTATGTATGTGTGTGTAATTACCTAAGTGTGGTTACAAGATAAGAGTTAAGCTCGTGTTGTTATCTCTATTATCTTTTGTAATGTGAAATTGTGAAGCTGTTCTTGTAGATATTAAATATAATGGAAATTAAGTCAATGATTCTTGTACAAATCTTATCTGTATTTTTTAGTTTCTTCTTGGGAAAGAATGAAAAATTAACTTTCAAATTCATTTTACTCCCTTATTGGGCTTGACTCAATTCACTAAGCCCAATTTATCATCCTCAGAGGCATCAAGAAAATACTGTAAATACAGTAAAAGAGTACAACAAAATATATTCCATGTGAGAGTGCTGAGAAGAGAGATAATCAACCTGTCAATATGACAGGTTAATAGTCCTGCATTCTAATGGGTTGATTGAGATAGTGGGTGAGGCATATAATGGCAGTTCATTTCTTTTGCGCTAAAAGAAAGACGAACCTTGATGTGAGATGGTTGTTTATAATTGCACTAAGTATGTTTGGTGTGAAGGTCTTCAGCTAAGTTTATTGTCTCACTACTGTATATATGTTGATTATTTTGGTGTTATTGGCCAGAATCTCCCTGGTGATGATGTGGTTGTGAGTTGAAATAGTGTTTAACCCTTAAACTACTATGCTATTGAAGTCTTACATTCAGGTGCACATAAAAGAAAAAAGTACTGTGTTGAAAACACAAGAATCAATCTTGTACAGTATGTTGATTTGAGCACAAGAGGAAATCGCAAATAGTGATTGGAGCAGTATAAGGTTTATGGAATCTTGTTGTTTCCACATAGTTCAGCTCCATGAAAAAGTTCTTGCCATTCTACATACCGTTGAACATTACAACTGACATTTTTCCTAGTGGGAATTTAAAGATGGACAACATTGGCCTCATTTCAAATCATTGCAGTCAGTGATGGGAGCATTCTTCATAAGCTAGATGGCAGTCGCTTTACTCATGTAGTAAATGATCAATTGCTTCATCTGTTCAAGGATTAGTAAGGGGTCCCATTTGTCAGTTATTTTCATTAGGATTCTTCTGTCGAGAGTTGTATAACTCTTTTTTTTTATAATAAAGCTTTATAGGAAGACATGTTTTTATAAAAATAACTTTCATCAGTGGCAGTATGGTAGTTAACTTTCTTTTGGATGACCTGGTCTACATATCACTTGGTGTATCCATTGTTGATAAGAACCTGCCTCATTCTATTCGGTCCCTCATTAACCTGCTTTTGCCTTTAGCTGTGGTAAAGGCATCCCTCTTGACATAGGCATCAACTATTTTTCTTGTTCCTCTCAGTGCATTTGCCTTTAACATTAAAATTAGTAACCTTTATTATACACTGAAGTCTGGAAGCCCTCCCATTTCTTTCAGATATTTTTATATCTAGGAACAGTAGCTTGTCTGTATTTTTGTCACATAAGCAAATCCAAAATGGAATTTTGCTTAAAAGAATTCTTTAGCTGTATGAGTATTCCCTATCAGATACCTGCAAGACGTCATAAACATAGTTGAGGTAAATATCCAGGTTTGTCCTTCCAAGAGTGAGCTGCTGCTTGAGACCCCACCAACTGCCGCAGTTGATTAATAAGAATGTAGAACAATGTTAGCCTGTTACCTTGACATATTAGTTACCTCTTCTTGGCCCACTCTCTTGGACTATACATTTTGTGGTATTGTTATTTTGTACCTATTTACCAATTAAAGAAGTAAAATAAATTTTGAAGAGTTAATTGTTCATCTTCTTAACAAGTAAAGAAGAATCTATGGAGTGGAAATGATTCATGCCATAATCATTGGCCTAATTCTTTCAGTTATATTGAATAACAAATACATATATATATACACATGTATATACAGTGCAACCCTCAAAACTTGAAACCCCTCAAATAATTGAAGTCTTAAATAACAAATAAAAGTGATTTTGACACTGGAATAATTCACAAAAATCTGGAATAGAACTTGAATTTCTTTCTAAAAAAAAAGAAAGAAACTGAAATCCAAACCAACTCAGCATTATAATTTATAAATTTTGATGACCAATATATTTCCAGTATTTCTGGACACCCTTTGGCAGCTTTCCCTTCTTTATGCTCTGGCACAGAGAACACAGACTAGCTACTTCATGCATCCATGAGACTCGACTCACCAGGAAGAAGGGCCCCTCACAAAATCCCCTTGCCCCTGAAAACCATGGGGTGGGCAGTGCCTGGAGATAAGAGATCAGTGCAGCACTGAGTCAAACTGCCCGCAAAAGTAATTAAAAAGGATCACAAATCACTTGACCTTCCTCAAACTGTCTACATAAGAGTCAAACTATCAAAATAAAACTATTACAAAGTAACATGGGCATCAAACTACTCTCCACTTCACAGCCAGGTGGTGGCATGGTCCACTACAGGTTTGAATAAAGAGCTGACCCTCACATTCGAGCCAGACAAAAATTCCAGTACGATTCTTGCATCTTGTGCTCGCAGAGACCTGATTGCTGTACTAAAGCTAAGTGTTCAGTTTTGTTTTGGACTTGTTTGTCTGGCATTAAGACCTATGCTTTTAAGAGTTTCATAAGTGTGTATACAGTTCACCTTACAGTCTCTTGCCTACAAGTCTCTTGCCTTACCTACAACCTTAGTTTTAGTCAGGGTTTTCATCTCTGGCACTGTAGGTGATGATGGCTCCCCTCCCAAGTTATTTTCTTAAGGGATATGGGTCTCCTTTAAGAAGACTCCTTTTAAGTCAACCCTGTGCTTTGGAATTTGGTTGCCAAGTGAGACCTTTTCAGTGGGAGGCTGATAGTTGTCTTGTGTGTGTTTGGTGCTGCTCTCCACAGCCTGCAGGAGGTAGAATTTTGCATGTATTGATGGTGCCTGCTGAGAGTATTATTAAGTGTCTGGTCCTGTTTATGGCAGTTCATACCCTCCCTCATCCATAGGTGGTGCGGTTTGGTGCTTGCTAGTCATGTACATGGACTCTTGTGCCTGAACTTTTCACATCAAAGCTTATTAGGTGTTTTGGTTCAGTTCCTGTGCTGCAGGTAGGTTGTTTGCCTCGTGTCACGGCTGGTTGGATCATGATGCAATCATTCCTCTTGTAACTCCAAATCCTGAATTTTGGTCTCTTCCTTGGACTGGGAAGTGTTTTTGGGACCTGTTCTTAGTTTACTCTGGGATTTCAGACTACTCTGAAGTCTGGGATGTTTACTTTGGTACCTCACTCTGGAAGTTAGCTTCTACCTTGTACTGTTTGTCACCAGTGTTGTGTGTACTTGTTTCACTGGTACATGCCTTCCAATTTTTATCATGCCTTCCTAGGGTATTCACCTTTCTGGACAGCCCCATGAGGGAGTCTCTTGTAGTTTGGTTAAAGTGCTATGCCTTTATAGTTTGGTTCTGAGGTTCTTTGGAGAGTAATCAAGGATGTGGATCCTGGAATGTATTCTAGGTTTTCCCAAGAGTTTCTTTCTCCTGTGTGGCTTGCTTTCCTTGGGTGTTTGCCCTCCATCTCCTTGGAATTGAGCCTACACCTTGCTGGAGCTCAGTTCTGGCATTGTAACTATATATTTTGTACTGGGGTATCTTCTTCACTCAGCATTCGTTGGTGAGGGTCCCTGTGACCTGTTTTGTTATTTTCCATAGGTGTCATATTTTCCTTTGCTTCCTGCTTTGTATGCCCATCAAGTCTGATAACGATAATTCTCAGCTTGTTTTTTTTTTTTTGGTAGGCATTTGTTGTCTTATTTCTCTTTGTAGGCAGTTTGTCATCAATACGAGTCTGGCTGTGGTGCTTTCTCAGCTGCGGGGCAGAGTTTCTGAGGCTTTAAGAGGGTGCTTTTCTTTGACTGCAATTGCTTTTGGGGTTATTCTCCTCCCTGTACTTTGGGTTGTGTTTGTATTTTTTTATCCCCAGGGGTCGTTGAAGGCACCTTTGTTGAGGCATTCTTATTTTGTCCTTAGGCTGTGATAGGTTTAGGCAAATAGTCTAGTTTCTGCAATCTTTTCCTTGTCTTCCCTGTTGGTTCCAGGGTAATATTCAGTTGTAATGCTTTAAGCTGCATAGTTTTCTGTTTTCCTCTCTTGGGTTCTTGTTCCGTGGCAAGCTGTTACTTTCCTCAGGGTTGGGAGATTGATGTGGCCCCCTCACTGACCAACTCACTGTTGGGAGTTTCCTTTTTTTTCCTGCTCTGACAAGTCTCCTATTGGTTGCATTCCTTTTGGCTTCTATGTGTTTGGCTCATCCCTGCAACTTGCAGACAGACTCTGGGGTGCTGGTACACGAGGTGTGTGTTGTTCCAGTGCCTTTGGTTTTGGATGTTGATAGCCTGATGGTTTGACATGTTTCACCGTTTTCATCTTGGTTGTAACACACTCTCTCTTGATAGAGGGGTCATGCTTTTCCTGGGCAATTATATCCTGCTAGTCTCCTCACTTCAGTGTAAGTGGTGTTTGCTTGTAGGATGCTTGCAGGCCCTGTCCTGCATTTTTGTCCTGTGGTCCATTAGGGCTTTGTGGACTTTCCTGGTTGTTGGGTTGCAAGTATATATGCTGATCCTGCAGGTAGGCATCCATGTTCCAGGTGTTCCAATTGTGCAGGGATTATTTGTTTCTATTAAATGTAGTCCTTTTGGGGTTTGTGGCTTGATGCCAGTTTTGTTTGGTCAGCATTTTGATTTTCCCCCATTGTCATAATTTACCATGTGGTTTTCAGCTTTCCTGGAAAATAAATTCTGCCCTTCCTCTGTATTATTTGGTTTGACTTGTCATTGGTCTCTGCTGACCTTTTTTTATTCCTTCACATTTGGGTTGGCATTTTCCCCGGCCCTTTTCTGGACTTGTGTCCATATTCCAAGTTATTTGCTCTTGGCCTTGGTCCAAGGTCTTTGGTCAGCTTCTAACTCCATCATTGGAGTTAGAAGCTGGCATTAGTATGTTTCCCTAGCCAGTAGGGTTCTTCCTTCCCAGAGGTTCCCTCCTTGATGGAGTTTCAGTAGGGTATTGGAGTTGGCTGTCTGCTCCCTGTTTTCAGAGCATAATATTTGCCTTCCCCTTTCATATCTTCTTGAGCATTGCTGGTGGTGCTATTTGTTCTGTGCTTTTGCATTGCTCTATTCATTTTCTTCCTCTTCTGACCTGGCTGATTTCTTGCTGGGGTCTTGAAGTTTTTGTGTATTCTCATTCCTTAGTGTCGCCGTCGTTCATGGCCCTGTTTTTCAGGTAAGGTGCTTGGATCACCGGGGCAGTGCTTTTCTGCCTTCTCTGCTGCCCCTTCTGGCTCTGCTCTGCAACACTGGTAAGTGTTCCTGTTTATTTTTCACACTCTTGCCTTTTCTTCTTTAGAGCTTGACCATGGGAATTCTTGCTGAAGGAAGAATGCAAATGGGCTCAGCCAATCGGTGACTTCCTTGCCTTTCCATTTTGTCCCAACTTGCTCTGTGCTCTTGGGGTTTGCTTTGGGATGAAAGTGTGGTCAGGGTCCCCCATCACCTCTGCTACATTGATGGTGCTGATTCCTGGTGAAGGGTTGGAATAACTGCCTAGTGGATAACAAGCTTTTATCAGAGTTATACTTGGCAGTCTATTTAATGCTGAGTATTGCTTGGAGGAGGTCATTTGAATGTAGATGAGTGAACCACCTGAAGATCATGCTTGGCTGGATGGAGTAAGATTCCCCCAGTGTATCTGGCTGGTAATCTGCAATGCCTATTAGACCAGGATACTACATAAAGTAGCAACCAATTTGCTTCCTAAGAAAGAAGCTTTTCATCTACACTCGGATCCTTATTTTTATTATTTTTATGAAACTCATTGTTAATATTGTATATTATTTGTAAATTTACAGTAAACAGGTGCAAAAATGTGTTCCATCATTTGTAGTAAGACACTCTAAAACATTTGGTGATAACAAAGAGAGGGGAAGTCCTTGAAATTCAGAATATATACTTATCTGGAATTGGTATTAATTTTTGGAGTTGTACTGTGTATGTGTGTGTGTATACAGTATGTATATAGGTAGAGGTGTGTGTGCATTACGTATTTTAGTAATTCAAAACCAATTGAAATTCATTTGAATGTTTCTTACATTAAATGTAATGTAATAAAAATCTGACATGTTTTATAAGGTAAATTACACTACTAAAAAAATCATGGGTACCTATCAAATAATTAAAAACTCAGATGTTTTGCAAATAATATAGTAAAGGAAGTTGCTTTTTTGATTGGATTTTTAAAAAGCAACATACCTGTATTACTTAATTATGTATCCCTAGTAGGAATATCTCTTGGCTGTCACAGGATTATGTTAGGTATCCTTAGTATCACTACAAACATAACAATCACAACATTCTCAACAAACACTACAACATGGTGCATAAGTTGGAGAATCAGGCTGGAATAACAGGTAAGTGGCTCTGGTGGATAAGGGAATATCTAAGCAAAAGAAGACAGCGAGTTAAAGTTAAGGGTGAAGACCACAGAATGGCAAGATGTCATCAGAGGATTCCTGCAGGGTTCTGTTCTCGGACCTGTCCTGTGTCTGATATGTATACGTAAATGATCTCCCAGAAGGTATAGACTCATTACTCTCAATATTTGCTGAAAACAATTATGAGAAGGATTAAACCAAGACAGAAGAAGACAGCAAGAGACTACAAGATGATGAAGACAAACTGAAGAAATGGTCCAACAAATGGCTACTAGAGTTTAACTCAAAGAAGTACTGTATAAAGTAATTAAAATTGGTTTAGGAAGCAGGAGGCTAGAAATATTATACCAATTAGAAGATGAAATCCTTCAAAAATCAGGTAGAAAGATCTGAGACTGATATCACACTGAACCTGTCCCCTGAAGCCCACAGCAAAAGGGTATCATCAGTGCTATGTGCTAGGTTGGCTAACATAAGAACTGCCTTTAGAAACTTGTATAAGGACTCTTTCAGAACCTTGTATACCATCAGTATATCAGACCAATCGTGAGGAATGTGGCTCTAGTGTGAAATCTATATCCAATGCTGCATTATGATGTATATTTGACCTAAGGCCAAAAACTGTTATACAAGAAAATGATAGCGGCTTGTGAAATTGACGTAATGTCCTATTTTCTGTTTGTGGGTTCTCTGGTAGGTTAGGATAAGGCACTTTAGTACAAATGTTTCTTGACGTTGGGAACATTCATGAGAATGGGCTGCTATATCTAGTCAAATACAAGGTGAAGTTAGGGGAAAGTTCAGAGAGATGACTCCATACTAGTCCAGGAGCTGAGAGAGATGAGTTATGAGGAAGAGGTACTGGAATTATACCTCTCACTGGAAGACAAAAGTGTTAGGGAAGACATGATTAACATCTTCAAAATTCTCAGGAATTGATAAGGTAGATAAAGAAAAATGATTTGGCATAGGTAGAACATGAACAAGGGGACATATGTGGAAGCATAGTACTCAAATGAGCCTCTGAATTTTAGAAAAATGTTTTCAGTGTTGGAGTAGTTAACAAATGGAATGATATGGCAATATAGTGACTTGACACTCGTATAGAATGTATCGACACTCGTATAGAACGTCTAGACACTCGTATAGAATGTCTTGACACTCGTATAGAATACCTCGACACTCGTATAGAATGCCTCGACACTCGTATAGAATGTCTCGACACTCGTATAGAATGTCTCGACACTCGTTAATGGTTAATCATTGTATTCAAAATTGTATGCAACTGTTGCCTTTGTAGTAATGGCAACTCAATAATTGTATGTATACTGCTATTACTTCTATAACTATATTTAAGTTGGTGTATACAACTACAGTACAGTATTACATCCATAGTTGTATGCAAAATATTTATCAGTGTGTATGAAAGACTTGCTAATTATTACATGTATTAATATAATTGTGCCTTGCTTTAGGGTCTGCCAGGCCTCAAGGGTGACAAGGGTGACAAAGGAGACTCGGTGAGTGCACATGATTAATTTCAGTGACTGTAGTTTTAAGAAGTACAGTAGAAGTGATAATATTACTAGGTGGTCATGTTTATTTAGAATTTCTAATCTCTATAAAGCCCATAATTATATAGTGTTTCAAGCAAGTCTTTTGAATAGGTGATGAAGAGAAAAGTTACAATAATACAGTAATGTATAATTCATTTTAATTCATAATAATTATGAATATTATTATAACGACTACTGAAGTCATGAAGACTATTAAATCATAAAAAACTATTACATGTTTTATCCCTTTGATATGGATGGCACCTTTAGTCCGATCAAGTCGAGCTCTGGGAATTGCAGAGATTTATATCTTGCAATGTCCATGGTTATGTTTCATCTCTGGGCCAAGTTTCAACTTAGAGTTTGCATTACAGCATACTTTTCTGAATATAGAAAGCATATGATATTACTGGTAAGCTATGTATGTTTAGCATATCTAGAGATATGTAGAGTGGTGCTATTTCTGGATACAGAGTTAGTTGTGGTTGTAATGACAGACAAACGATGGATAAGGACGGGTTTCAGATAACAGTATTTGAACCCCAGTGAACAAATACTCATGAATTTTCACATAGACTTGTTGTTAATTATTCAGTACAGTATGCTCAAGACTTTTCATGTGTATAATGTATGTGCCAAAATTTATGGTATTTGAGTTTATATGAGGCTGTTTTGCTATTGGTCCAGCAGGAGAGGCCCCAGTTGCACCTTTCTACTGAGCGACCCAATCGGGGAAGACTTGTAAGTCGGTACACTGATGATTTGCTGGCTTATACAGTTTCATTATTAACATTTCACTTTTTTGCTATAATGGTTGTTCAAGACTATAAAAATAAAGGACTACAAAAGACCTTTTGGCCCATGTAATGCAGCTCCTCTTTATATGTAACCAGACTCATTCATATACTGTACAGTACAGTATTCTAGCTTCACTTGAACCTACCCAGTGGTCCCATGTTTATTTTGTTACCTGGCAATTTATTCCATAAATCAACAACCTTGCTTCCAATTTACCCTGTTTTTTCTCGATATAAACGTTCAAGTATATAAAAAAAAGCTCTGTTACTGTATACTGTACTGTTTATGTAAAAGATTTAAGCTTTAAACTCGTTAGATATATAATGTTACGACTGTATAGCCCAGCAACATCAAGATATGTTAATTAGAAGGATTTGGCTTTATCCCTTGCCACTTTTCACCAGTGTTAGTTTATATATAGCTTCAGTTCTCATTCCCACAAATTGTTAATGCTCACTGAATTTATTTTGGAAGCATATTGTTGAATGTGTGACTTTAGTTACATAGCCAGCTCCTAGAGGATAGCGCACAGTACAGTAGTTGTATACAAGTTGTGGATTTAACATTTCTAATGGTAAAAAGAATTAATTGTTTAGTGTTGGCAGGTTAGCAGATTGACATAAGTCACGCATTCACAAGCATTTTAATTTCTTGTTTGTTCTGCATGTACGTTTTAACTTTGTGCGGTTGTTTACCGAAATGTTAATGAGTGTTTTTTCTTTTTCCCTGTGATGCAACCCAGAAACTCAAAAAGCTCAGAAGAAGACAGGTAATTTGATCGTGTTTGTTCCATATGCTAACTTCTTAAATATTACCAACTTCTTAGAAATTGTTTCTGATTTTACTTACAATCTTGTGATACTGCATTTCTGATAGTCATCTGTCGTGTCTTGATAGATTTCCTCTGTTTAAACTGCACTTTCTCATGTGATACTTATTTATATTAGTAAGTATTATTGTTTGTGTTGATAAGGTTGGCATTAGTGTGTTTACAGACTTATTACACAACCCTATATCTTTGAAGCATAATAGATGCTGTGAAAATAAATAAGAACTGAAGTCTGAGTCTTTTATAGGGCTAACTTTCAACGTAAAGGTGCTGTCTTTTTGTCTTGCTTCATATAGTTAAGTGATGTGCTCTCGTTGTAGAGTTGTGATTCCGACCCTGCATGGTGCCACAGACTGGGACAGCACGTCACTGGGAGGTGAAGGCTGAACACCACCCATGTGCTCTGTGTCCCCTACAAACCACTATTATAAATAGCCATCATGCTCATTTATCTTCTGTGAATTGTGAGAGCAAATTGGCAGCAGAACAAATTATGAAATTTTTATCTTATCATGCAATACAAATTATTGTTTGTATAAGAAATTTCTAAGTGGGATATAATAATAATACATTTTCTTACATTTCAAACTAAATGTCAACATTTACAGAATTTGGAACCTGGGCATTTTTCTAGGGGAATATCCCTGGTGGCTCCATGAAGCTATCCTGCTGAGACTGCTCCACCTGAAGAATCACATTTAATCACAGGAGTTTAGTTTGGCCTACCAGGGACCCAGAACTGGGCCTCCCCTCAGCGGTGCAGAGAGCAAGCAACAATTCACCACTCAACTGGGAAAACATCCAGAACATGAGCAATGCTTTACAGAAAATCTTCTGACAGATAAAAAAAATTCTGACAGAAAAATGAGGGCAATAATCAGAGGCACTCTATCAGACTGGAGAAATGTAACCAGAGGGGTACCATAGGGTTCAGTTCTAGTAACAGTAATGTTCATAATCTATATGAACAGCCTACCAGAAGTAATACAGAATTATATGAACATGTTTGCTAATGATGCTAAGCTACTAGGGAAGACAAGACACTTAGATGATTAAAGTACCTAGAGAGATGATTAGATAAAGATAACATTCTGGTAGTGGCTCTTTGCCACTACCTATAGGCTACTGATTTTGTCTGAGGTGACACTTTATGGGTTGATCCAGTTTCCTTCATCCCTGGTCTTGTTCCTAGGTCATCCACAGTGTCATTAAGTCTAGCTATCCTGTGGTCTACCCTTGGGCCCATGATGTTTGTACTTGCTCTCCCTTGGCAGTAGTCTTCTCTAACATGTCCTAGACTGATACAGTATTCAGGTTTGGGAGTCTAACATGATTCTAGCAACTGGATATTTGGTTAATGTTCCTGGACCCAGTCTATCTTGTGCTACTTTGGGTTATGTCTACTCGTCTGGTCTTAGTACGGTATCTGCCACCTCCTCCCTGGTATCTTCTGTGTTTTTGTTCTCTATGGTTTGTTAGCTTCAGAGAGCCACCAGAGGACTCGCTCAGAAATCCAGTGTTGAATGTAATGAAATAGCTCTTTCTGGTAGAGCCCCAGTTCATCAGTTTGTTTGTGGGCTGTTTCTCAGAATCAGAACTGGCTGGTCAGGGGATCTGGACTGCTTGGTGGTAGCTAGCGGTACTAATGAGTTTAAGTTAGTATTGAATGAATCTGTTGTTTTGTTTCAATTACTTACCGAGTTATTTGTCAGTTTTGTGTCTTTTTGTTTTCTTTGAACCCTCCAATTGTCTGCCAAGCTTTGCTGACTTTCTCTATGCTTTCTCAGTGGGATGGCAAATTGTTACTCACTCTTTGCACCTCTGTGAGGGGAAGGTGACAGGTTATGGCTCTGATCACTTGTAAGCCAAACAGAACTCCTGCAACTCGTGTAACCCTTTAGGTGGAGCAATCTCGGTGAAAGAACTCATCGAAGGTGTTTCATTATGTTCCACTCTTGATGACCAGACCACACACTAGAAGGTGAAGGGACAACGACGTTTCGGTCCGTCCTGGACCATTCTCAAGTCAATTTCCATTCTTGAGTTTTTCTTTTATTTTTTCTTACTTTAATTTTTGTTATTAATTCATAGAATTGTAGAATTTATGGAATGTTTTATATAAATATGAACAATTAGAAGACCACTTGTGTAAATGTGAAAAATATACACAGAAATATTATTTCTGATATGATTCATGATACAGTATTAGTCATGTTTCTGATATTTAGTCTCGAGAAAATTTCCACTGGCAGTTAATAAATAATACATTTCTTTTGCTTATCAAAGTTTTCAGGTTATTTGGGTTGTATGTTTAAAATGTCCTGTACCAAATTCCGTTTAAAATATTTTTTACCTCTTTCTGTTTACATTTGTATATTTTGATTCTAAAAAGAGCAATACAGTAGTTACAGTATTAGGTTCTGAAATTATTTATATTGACACCTTAATTCAGTTAAATAACATTTTAATTATTATAGCTTTCTGTATATTAAAAAAAATAATTAAAGTACAGTATTTGTTTACTGTATTTCATTTTGGGAGCACGTATTATTTCTGTCATGTAAGGTGGTAATATTGTGAGTCATTTTTGTTTTTACCAGGGTGACTCCAGCAGGACATGGAAGGAAGTTCCCGGGGAAGTGGTGAGTAAGAGGCTGAACTGGTCATTGTAATAATATATATATATATATGTCTTTAATCATTTTAATCTCACCATTTCAATATCAGATACAAGTTATGCTTTTGTCATTATAGAATGATATATACGGGTGTGGGTGTTGTGAGAGGTTAATCTGACCCATTAATTGGTTATTGATTCAGTTAAATTTATTGTCCTCTTTGGTTATTTTATAATATCTGTTAACATAACCTATTTATATATAATACAAGAAGGTACAGTGGGCTGTGAAAGTACATATGTTGGTGATTAAGTGGGTTCATTCTTGCACAGTATTTCAGGAAAGACTTTGAAACTAGCATGTGGTTTGTGCATTCCTTCTTGTTAATTAATTGATTGTTAGTTCAGTCATTTGAATTTTTCTTTTCAGTTATTTTGTAACACCTGACACCATAATCTTTATTTAAGGTTTTGATATAATGCGGGTGCTAGGCAAACGTAGAGTATACGATACAATGAAGGTGGTTATCTTGAGGTTATCTTGAGATGATTTCGGGGCTTAGCGTCCCCGCGCCCTGGTCCTCGACCAGGCCTCCTTTTTTATTTGCTATGCAATGTTAAAATATTCTCGATGTTCTATAATTTGAATTCTATGGGGCCCACCCCCATTTGAGGTTGCCAAATTTTTTATTGGAATGTGCAAACATTTTTAAATTTTGATTTATTCTGGTTTTCATTTGGCAGAAATCTCGGTAATCTGAATTTCTACTTGGGTTAAAAAGTAAAAAAAAAAACTCGAACGTGAATTCCATTCTGATTGATTTGGGTTATTGGAATCTGATTTACTGAGCTCTTACAGTATTTGTAGCACATATATTAAGAATATACTTGAATGTATCTTGAAAGTGAAGTGGGATATTATTAAAAGTATTATCAATAAGATGTTATTAAAAGTATTAAGCAATAAATTGTTGTCACAAATCACTGCAGATTGTCTTTTAAAATTCTTGAGTCTTGTCTCCAATTTCAGACATTTCTTTTAAGATTAAGCCATTCACTGCTATAATTTCCTGAAATTGAATGCAGAATTCTGGGTGATAAAACACTGCAAATAAACATACATCAACATTACTCATTTGTACACCTAATGCATAGATAAATTCTTTACAATGTTATATTAACAACTATCAGCTGAGCCTGCAGCTTTAGTTTATAGTATACAGTATTTACAATTGTCAATTGATCACATGCACTTTTAGTTCCTACTATATTAACAGCTATCAAATAAAGACTCGTAATTTTAATTCATACAGTATTGACACCTGTTAGATAAGCACATGTGGATAAAACAAGTTCATTCAGTGACTGCCTGTAAGCTGGATTTCATATTGCATTATTTTTATTTTTATTTTAGAAAGTGTGCCTTAAATATGTGTACCCGTATCTTTTCAAATAAACTTAAAACTGCTGGTGGTAAAACTTGGTTAAGATTTGCTTATTGACAGATCATAGGCCCGCCTGGACCCCCAGGTCCGCCAGGATCTCCAGGACTGCAAGGACCGCCGGGCATCAAGGGGGCTATGGGTCTAGATGGTACAAAGGGCGATGCGGTCAGTACACGATTGGATAAGTTGAAGTGTAATTTCTTGTACAATACAAAATATAGTATAATAAGTTCAGTTATGCTATAAGGTATGATTATGAAACTGGCAAGTTCATTATAATTACAGTATAGGTTATTTTATATCCAAAACTCCACAATTTTTTATATAGTTTTCCATTTCAGTCACATGCACCAGAATGATTACTCTTCTTAATTATTACTCAGTAAATTCATTTTTAAAGAGATAATCTTGGAGTTTTTTCTGTGCATTGCAGTGCAGTATTTCTAATAAACAAATAATCAGCCAGACTAGCACTCGGATGTATGCATGAATATTTTGTACTGTGCTTCTATAAATTGTTGTATTTGTTCATAATTAAATTTTTCTCTTTAGGGTGGAAAGGGCGACAAAGGTGACCCAGGTCCCATGGGCTTACCAGGTCCAATGGGGCTCAGAGGAGAACCAGGTCGAGCTGGTGACAGTGGGAAACCTGGTCCAGCGGTAAGGTGCTCTTAAGTGGTCACGGTTGAAGTAAAAGGCTATTTAATTTTGGTGATGGTGTTAGTGATGTTATTTACATTCCTAATGTCATTAATTGCTCTCAAATTGTTAATATCTTTGGAAACTGGCAGTGCAAATTAACAACATATTGTAATACATGTGTATCAGTATAAAAATGCAGTGATTCTCTGAACATTGCATTTTTTGGTTGCTTGATGATTTTACTGTTTAGAACATCCTTGAGTGCTTGAGACTATTGGACACCCATTGCTGAGTATTTGTATTTTGTTACTGGTGAAAACATTCAGTGGTTTTCTATAATTTGAAGTCAGTACAGTAATTCAGTGTCTGTTACAATATAAATCATTCCATATATTATACAATACTTTGAATAACTATACTTTCCTATTTGACAATGCTGTACTGTTATACAGTAATTTATAATTTTGAGCATTATTAATGCCGAGCAACCCATGTAAGAGGTGCCTACGCAATTTAATGAACATTTTCCGAGCTATTTGATATCGGATCGTGTGGATATCGTGATCTGACAAATCTCAGAGCCATAGAGAATTTTCAAGTAGCTATAGAGGGTCGTATTGTGGTGCAGAAGTTACTGGAGGGATTAATCAGTTCAATTAGAAAAAGACTGTGAAGATTAATTGCTTGTAAAATGAGGGTCCCCACTAACTGCTTGCTGGCTATGTCACCTGTTTATCCCCACCGATCACAACAGGTGGCAGTATCGTGCTCTCTCTGGGGGTGAACTGACCTAAACCATCTGGAATTGGTTTACAATCGAGTTGAATTTTATTTCGTTCTGAAACTTTTTTTCTTGTGGACTGTTGGCCTTGTTTATCTGTGTTATGCTCTAATAGAAGTATATATATTAGCTTATGTGTGCCTAATAGTCTTCCAGGCTTGGTGGTATTTTTTAAAATTACTTACTTCACTTATGGGAAACATGCACCCAAATTTTTCTAGCCTGTTATTTTAGTTTAATGCTGATGTGCACAGCAGTGTTGTAGCCTCTTAGCAGTCCACAGTTTTTATAGTTCTCTTCTGCTGTGTCGTTCTTATCTGTTGCTGCATCTCTACAACCTGTAGTCCTGATGGAACCTTAGTACTACGAATCCCGAGCGCTGTTCACTCAGCCGTCAGGCCCCTTAGTTTCATATCTTGAGGTTATCTTGAGATAATTTCGGGGCATTTTAGTGTCCCCGCGGCCCGGTCCTCGACCAGGCCTCCACCCCCAGGAAGCAGCCCGTGACAGCTGACTAACACCCAGGTACCTATTTTACTGCTAGGTAACAGGGGCATAGGGTGAAAGAAACTCTGCCCATTGTTTCTTGCCGGCGCCTGGGATCGAACCCAGGACCACAGGATCACAAGTCCCGCGTGCTGTCCGCTCGGCCGACCAGCTCCATATGTTATATAATTTTCTTGCAAGACTTGACATGTACAGTATTGAAAGTGTAGCATATATTTATTGTTTACAACTAATGTTCACTGCCAGTGTCTGAATTATATTTTCAGTTTGACGACTTTAAATGACAATGTGGGTCTTTTCTTGCCTATGTTGAGGTGATAAGGATAACTGAAGGAACTTATCTTGGCAACAAAGTGTAAATTCCCTCCTTTTCGCATTTAATCAAGTTGCTTAATTTGGTACTTTTTTCTCGTCCTAGTGTTGTGGTTTTCTTGTTTCATTCATCCTAACTGGAAAGTTTACAGCTATGGACTTTTGGGCCAGATGGCTTTAACTTCTGTTGATTAATGGATCTAATTTTATCACTTTGGTAAAAAGATGATATTAGAAATAATTGTTAATTTGATTATCTTACTGACTAGTGTTTTATTCAATTTCTTTAATATTTAGGGCTACATATTTAGGGCTACAAAAGTAATTCTACAAAATTTTGAAGTAAATATTACCAAAAATACTTTTTGGTAATGAAGTACAGTACATGTATTGTGTTGAACGGAGTCTTTGTTCAGTGTTGCTTTGAACATAAGAGGTTTTCGTGATATGTTTTATATTATATATATTATTCTAGTTATGTCTGTAGTTGCTCACTAAGATCCTTTTGTTAAATTAATATCCTTTCAGAAAACTTTACCTTGAGTACAGTAATTAGTTTGAATGATTCATCAGATTAAAAGCTAGCTAAATGCTATTCCTTTCTCTGTTCCTTTATTATATTTAGTAACATTCTAGTGCATTTTGTTAAATTATAGGAAATTGACAGAGAAGATCTGCTATTTCGTTTTATTCCATTTTAGTACTAGTTGTATTTTCCAACTTTGATTTACAAGCTATCTGATCATTATCATGTCATTACGGCACGTACACCCAAGAATTTTACGCTGTTATTTCCTTTACTGTCTTATCCCTGCATAATTCTATAGATTGGCTTATCCCCAATCATTAACGTTAATTGTATAGCTCTCATTAGTATCATACATGAGCGATTGCTGAACTGATGGGCTTGGTGCACTGCATGAGGCAAGAGCATGAAGTAATTGATGCATTTAGTGTTGCTTCAGTGTTTTGTTTGAGACTGATAGATGTGTTTCTTTGAGGATGTTACAAGTGGCATTGTTTTCATTTTTAATATATTGCAATTACACTTCGCTTATAATATTTCTTCAGTTTACCTTTTTTGTGTTGCAAGAGATGTTAGGGTTCGATGTTTTTGTCTTCGATTTGTTCATGTACATCACCCTCTTGTTTTAGTATCTTCTGACACACTACCTCACCTTCACTCACACATGGCTATATATTTACTAGAAATACTTATAACACTGTTATTGTTCCTCCATTCTGATATAGTCTTCCATCGTGATATATTTCCTCGGTTGTATTTATTCCATCAGTGTTATATTGCATATTCCATCAGTATTTTCCCTGCATTATGCATTTCATCAGCATTATGTATTTCTGTGTTAGTTATTCTGTCAATGTTATATTTTGCATTATTACAATTTCAAAAGCCAGAATTGAGGTAATTAATTCATGTTTAATAGGTGTAGAGGCATGTGTGAGTGTGTGAATGAGAATTACCTCTTTGTGGGTTAAAGAAAGAGAGCTTTGTTCGTAGTGTTCAGGTTTTCTTGTGTAGTATATTTTGTCCAAATATTTGTACAACTACTTAAGGTGTTTGTGCCTGTTACTACTTCTTGGAGTCTATCCCAACCTTCAGTCTGTGTTATACTATAATATAGTCCTACTTCAATGGCATGATTGATCCACAACCCTCTAACTTTGTTGCATTTAATTGTTTCTATTTTTTGCCGCAGTTGTTTTGATTAGTGAAAAATTACTAGTATTTGTACATATAGTATTGCAATACCAAAATCTTATGAAAATTTTAAGAATAAATCTGAAATTTGTCAGTATTAATTAGCATTTCAAATTCATACTAACAGAACCGTCTTCATTATATGGAGACCTAATCCATTATTCCAGATACTAACCATATCAAAGTCCTTCCAGTGTATCCAATTTTGTGATGGGCTGGCTTACATTCAAAACAAAATTCACTGCACAATACAGTACTCACCATTGTCTTTTCTACATAGTACTATCATTTGTCACTGTTGCCTGTAGTTACGCTTATTGCTGCTTTCCAGAACTCTCCCCTGTCTTTTTCACAAACTTATTTTGTAATCATAACCCCCACTTCTTTTTCTTCTGCCTTCCTGTTTAGATATGTTTAAAATCTCGAGTGTGTTCCTCATATCTCGGTTTATGTGATTTTTTGTAACTTGTTTTAAAGTATGGCTTACTATTGCACCTTGGTCATTTAAGTTACTTGATTTCCTTAAGGTTTCACCACACAATCTGTAATCCTTGTGTAGCCTGTATGTGCGAGTTGTATACATATATACTTACAGTACATATTCATGCATTCATTATATATATATATATATAGTATATATATTTTTTTCATTATAGTTCTTTGATTCAGAGTTCCTCCCCCATCCATTACACCTGAATAATTCCTATACTGAACTTTGTAACCATTTTTTATAGATATCTAAGTCTGTCTATTCTTTTCACTGAATAATCCATTAACATAGGAAATTAATTTAATCATTGCAAATTTGGTTAAAATATTGGTTAAGACATTTGGCCCCCAGTAATTTTTATTTAGCATTTCCTCTGAAACTGGTGTTTGTAATTCAAGTTTAACTTGCATGTTTTCTTAGCAAGAATTCAAATGGATGAAATAAGTTTTGATATACTCCTTGTTCTTTCTGTAAACGAGTGAGGAGAAAATGCTATACTGTGTACATACATACATATGCCGGCTGTATTTCTTATAAGTAAACTTTGGGAAATTTGGGAATGTAAACTATGATTCGTATACTTTACAGATGCTATATATTATTATTGAGATATTTTATTGTGTACCTTTAGACCTTTAGAATGCATTTTGGTAAGATGTTCAGATTACTGTAAAATTTACTTTAATTTTTTTTTTAAGAAAACATTGTGTTTGTGCTTATATTAACATCTTGTCTTAGGAGATACCTAGTTTTTAGGAGTGTGTGAAGTTTATCTTATTAACAAAATCTCAGTTTTCTTTGATGCTTACATTATTTATAGAACACTGTATGTTTACAGTGTTGTATGGAAAAGCATAATGGATGCTTTTCCATTATTGTAAAAAAAAAGGAAAAGATACTAATGGTCACTATTGACTTATTCTCATATTTAGTGCAAAAATAGTTTAGTATTTTAAGTTTCCTGGCATGAACAGCATTACGTGGTAATAAACAGTAGCACATGGAGAGTGGTCACTCGGACTTGGTAGTTAGGTGTACAAATCTTACTACCATCACTCTGATCCCCTCCATCACACATGTTCACCCCCCTCCCTTATATCATCATACATCTCCCCTCCTCTCTTGTACCACCACACATGTCCATCCCCCCCCCCCCTCGCGTTGTCATGCATCTCCCCTTCCCTCTCGTACCAACACATATGTCCACCCCTCCTCATATCATCATACATCTTCCCTGCCCTCTTGTATCACCACACATGTCCACCCCTTCGTATCGTCATACAGCTCCCCCTTCCCTCTCGTACCATCACACATGTCCAACCCCCCACCCCCCCCACCCCTATACCATCATACATCTCCACTCCCCTCTTGTACCATCCTCGTGTCCACCTCCCCCCCCCCTCGTATCATCAACATCTTCCCTCTCATACCATCACACATCTCACCTCTAGTACCATCACACATCTCCCCTCTTGTACTATCACACATCTCCCCTCTTGTACCATCACACATGTCCCCTCCCAACACCATCATACAAATGTCCATCACTTTCACAGTTTTTGATAAATACATTCTAATGGTTCACACTAATATTTTTTCCCTCTGCTACACTTTGCACAATCAATTAAACCATGCCACCTTCCAAAAAAATGCATGCTGCCACTGTAATTTTTATTATACTAAATACATCCCAAGGACCACATCCAATATCATGATGGTCAGTTGTCATAATAGGAACTTGTGTTTATTGACTTTATCTTGGGGAAGCTGAACACCTTTAAATTGAAGCATAACATACATTTTGTGGCAAAACTAGATCATTGAGTGTAATGCGACTTCATTTTGTGGGGCACTCCTCAGTTACTTTTTGGTGCCTTGGGGTCTGGTGCCCTGGAGTCTCTAAATATATGCCAGGCTCCTACAACCAGCACAACCTACCACAAACCAGGACCAGAAGCTGATTCATAAATAGAGGCGAGAGGAGGTCATAGACCCAGTCGAAACCAAGAAAAGTGTCCAGAAAGTCGGAGGCTAAATAAACTATTGCTACGAAGAAGAAAACAGAAGCAATAAACGAGGCAAACTATAGTTGGCAGTGAGTCAATGATCCTTGCTCCAACTCGTCCAACTCCAGAAATGGGTTGCTTCATTACACTCAATGCTTTGTTTTTGGACAAGACCTATCAGTAGCTCTCTGCACAGAGCTTTATTGAAAATGAATAAAGTATTAGAAGAACAGACAATAACATAAAAAGATGCCATTGCAAGAAAGTGACTTGACTAAGGATTGGGGAAGAGGATGAGTAGTGTGCCACTTGCTCTGGTGCCATACATGCACAGCTAAAACATGAGACATCCAATGAGTGGCCAACATCTTATTAGACCTCAGTCAGTGAAGCGACAAGGAAAGCCATAATAATCCATGGACTCTCAAGGATGACATCACCACTTACCTGGAGATACCAAATGAACTGGTTCTCACAGAGGTGGCACATGGTCACGGGTACCAGGCATGCAAGCGAGGTGTTGATAGAGCAAGACCCCCCTAAGTAACCTGTAGTTACAATATGAGAGCTACGCTCACGGTGTGATGAGCTACGCTCATCCTGCGTATCATTCTTTATCTTTCTGAGTGGATCTTATCATTGATTCTAGTCAAGGCAGACATGGCTACAACACCAGTGTGGCACAACAAGATATCTTCTAAAGATCCTTGTTATGCCTGTGCAGATTGCCGACTTGGTCTGACTGTGCAAGATCCAGTCCCACGATACCAATAAGTATCTTACATTAGGAAGTAACTGAATGGGAATGTTCAGAAGCTCTTGTTTAACTTTTACAGTACTGTATATAATTTGTAAGCATTCTTCATTATCAGTTGCTTTGTAAATTATTCGTATAGATTTTTTCAAAATATGAATTTCCAGTAATAAATGTGTAAAAGAACATTTTCTGTTATACAAAATTGTTTTCAGAGGTTTAATTTTATGGATGGGATTAAAAAGGTTTATAAAATCAAATCTTGTTGATTACTGACAACTTTGCATTGTGGTGTGGCGATAATTTAGTTTGGCCATTAGAAAATGTGATCTATTTAAGAACTGTCATTATCTTATGCAAGTTTACTTAAATGTTCCTTTTTTAATGTTTACTCCACAGGGTGCACCAGGTCTTGATGGCATGAAGGTAAGCATCTTGGTTGTTCTTGTTTTTGTCTGTTCTTTATACATAGTAATAATGTAACAAAAAAAAAAATGTCTTCAATGTATAGGAGAGCAATTGCCACTTCCTAGTCACAAATATCTTGTATAAAATACATTTGTACACTCAATATTGATATAGATAAAAGTAAGCTTTACTTTTAATTTGATCTTAGTATATGGGTTATTCTGGCACTCCAGTAACATTGTGATATGTTGCACATCACTGAGGATTGCTGCCAGTCAGGCAGATAGACACAAAGCACCAATCCAATAATGCCTATTAAAGGGGTACCTGGTACCCCTGTCTCCCCCTCTCCCCACTCTGCACTCCTCTCCCTTGTCTTTTTTTTTCCCCTCGAGTTCCTGGCTTAGTGCCTTCTTTTGATAATTACTTACTTCTCCTATCCTCCCCTCCTCCTTTCCCTCACCCCAATTTCACCCTCTTTTCCTTCCTCTTCCTCCTATTCCTCCTTTTTCCCCCCCTCCCCTTATAAAGCTCAAGATTATGGTGTCATCTGTTCCTTTGTATAGTTACCCTATTTACAATAAAAATTATGCCCGTTGAGTTGCTCATCCCTTGATAAATTCTTGGCAAAATTTGTTACATCACTTATCTTGTGTTCTTTTGCTCTCGTATTAGTGGTTTGAATGACAGTTAGAATTTTCTATCTGCTTAGTGCCACAGACGGCAGTAAATACTCATCTAGGGTTGGTGCTTTCTTTAGATAATTACTTATTCAAGTTACGATTTTTGAACAAACAAGTATTTGAGAAAAATTCTTTACCCCTCCTCAGCAGGTTTGTATTGCTTGCTTTATTTTGTCAAATAAAACACCAAATATAGAAAAAGGACCTTAGTTAATTCAACAATTTGCATATGTGGCATCTTCAGGAATAACACATTAATGGGTACACAGCCTGATAGTTGAGTGGACAGCACTCTGGATTCGTAATCCTTGGGTCTGGCTTCGATTCCCGGTGACGGCAGAAACAAAATGGGCAGAGTTTCTTTCACCCTGATGGTGAAAGAAAACCTAGCAGTAAATAGGTACCTGGGAGTTAGACAGCTGTTATGGGCTGCTTCCTGGATGGGTATGTGTAAAAAAAAAAAAAGAGAGAAAACCAAAAAAAATAGTAGTTAATAACAGTTGAGAGGCAGGCCAAAAGAGCAGAGCTCAACCCCCACAAGCACAACTAGTTGAATACAGCGGATCTTATATAGCACCAGTGAGGTGTGTGCGGGTAAAATGAAACAACACAGTGCATGAACTACAAACTACATAGGCCTCTTGCCAACCAACTCACTGAACTTGAAAAGTTCAGTGAGTGGTTTGGCTAATAAAAAAACATTCTGATTAAAAAGATCTAAATACTAATGAAAGCAGATACTGTAAACGTGCATTTCATAACATTGCATTTAGATTTAGCTAATTTAGTTTCATTAAAATTTATGAAATAGCCAGTACATTAGCTAGTGTATTGTTCGTATTAATAGTTTGAAGTTCATTCTTATATTAAGACACTTTTTTTTATCAATGTCTTCAACACACACTATGTACATTTTGTCATTATTATGATTTCTTGTTCTTGAAGTTGCAGGTTTTAAGATTTCTTTTTCTTCATTAATTCCTGTCACTATTTTTCAGGTAGTGCATATATACATGTCTGTGTATGTGTGTGTGTGTGTGTGTGTGTGTGTGTGTGTGTGTGTGTGTGTGTGTGTGTGTGTGTGTGTGTGTGCGCGCAAAGCTAGAAACATAATATTAATTTTTATTTTTTTTATTTTGTTAGGGTGCACGAGGTGAAATCGGCAGAAAGGGTGAGAGAGGTGACCCTGGCTTACCTGTAAGTTACCATAACTTAGTAGTTGGTGTTAGTGACATGATGTGGGTGTGTTAATGCTTGGTCTCTTTGCTCATACTTTATATCCTTTCTAAAACTAGACCCTCGGTCTTGAGTGTTTAATAATGTCAAATGTTCTTGAAATTGCATTTTTCTGAAAACAAAAGCTGTTGCTTTTTTTTAATTAATATGATTTGAGTTAAGTATTTTTAGGTGTTTTTTGTTATATACCTTATTTATGTCACTGTAAGTTCTGGTATTTTCCAGAGCTGTAGCTAGAAAGTCTTAGCTGTTGGTCATCCACACACATGTTAGTGTCAAATAACTAACACCCACACCAGCACACATTTAAGCAGTTGATGGGAAAAGTTTTGAATATATAAGATTCAACATGAGGCAAAAACCAGCTGTAAGTTGTACTGTATCTCCAGAGAACTGAGATATTTTGCTGAAAGAGGAAACCTGTAAGAGGACTGTACCTACACACAGAGAAGGTACAGCAGTACCGTCTTAGGCAATTTATTCTTGTTGGATTATACAGTACAGTACTGTACTGTAATGTTATAAAGTACCTGGTGTTCACCTGATGAGGGGGAACAACAAATATGACTATTGAAAAGAACCATCTGTGGTGAGAAAAATACTGACCATAGCTTACATGAACGTCTGAGCACATTCAGTCAATTGGCTAAAATAAGCTTAAGAAATACATAAGAATATAAGGTTAAATTAAACTGTAAAAGACCTATTGCCCCATGCAAGACAACTCCTATTTATATCCTCCTAGACACATTCATGTGTATATCTATCCAATGCTTGAAATTATCAGCAATCTCACACTCATTATTTGATCTTGTAAAGATTCTATGAACCTTTAACCCCATTCCCAAACCAGAATTTACCCAGGTCTTTTTTTGAATCAAAACTTATCCATCTTGTATCCAATGTTTTGTGTTAATATATTTAGTACCCTATTAATATTTCCTTTGACACAGCCTTTCATCAATTTGTATATATTACGTGAATCGTGTCCCACCTTAATATTTTATTAAATAAGATCAAAGGTATTTGCCCTACTTCTTACCTCTGCATCCTCTTCCTTGGCTACTAGTTTGTGCTTTTTCTCCTTTTCACTTTGTATTATTAATTTTATGTAAAATCATATTATCATTTGAAGTGACTTCTACTTATTTGTATTATTTGTACATAATGTTGATCCTTGTATATGAAGTACATGGTGTTAATAAGTGGCCACAAGCCATGGAAATTTTTACACAAGATGTTGATACATCAGTTGATGATTGATTGATGAAGATTAAGCCACCCAAAAGGTGGCACGAGCATGAGTAGCCCGTAAATCAGTTGTGTTCAGTACTGTTTTGTAGCTGGCCAAGAAAACGTAGGGAATGGGATAGTTCATTTTCTTCAAGTTAAAGAATAACAGAGGTACGTTGACCGCTCACTAATTCAAACCTCAGTAGCTCAGATCTCCAGGCAACTCAGCCAGAATCACAATCGAATTAGATTGTCAGTTGATTTGGACACGAAATTTGACTTACCAGGCTTAGCAGTCAAGTTATTGATGCATGGCAGTTTGCATTTGCAAAGAAGCAAATACATAAAAAAATCATTAATATGTAATATATATAATGTTATATTTTATATAACAACTGATTATTGTATTGATAGAAATGCCTGCATTTCCCTGTTAAGATAGCTAGAGGCCGTCACGATCCCATAAAGTAGCCGTATGTTTCTGCCCTCACATGTGATATATCAAGGGACACTCCATAGCTAAACGATTTTCTGTGCTTAAATTTGTTCTTTAATACAAGCTTAGCTAATTTTTAGTCAGTGACAGGGTTAATGGTGACATGGTGAAAGGTGAGGAGGAGGATGAGCAGGTGGACGGTAGACTACAAAAATACAATTACTTTATGACAAACATTGATCATTTGATTAATTATGCTTTGAGTTGTAAAATTTCACACTGTTGTTGGTGCAGAGCTGACTATCAAAGAGGCCAATCAAAAAAATAAGACAGGCTAAAATAGTGAAACCTCAGCATGTAGCAGTCAAAACTGAGTTTTCCAAGTACTTTTGGAGTAATTTAGGTTAGGGTAATTTAATTTAAGAAGGTCTGGTCGGGGACCAGGCCATGGGAACGTTGAGACCCGAAATCATCACAAGGTAGGCTAAGTTGACTAGTACAGTATTTGACAACTGTTGTAATTGTTTTTATTTACCCAAGCAAGGCAAATTGGAGCACAATAGCTATACAGGAAAGAGCTTTGCAAAATTCTACTAGGTTGGGAATTGTCATTGCTTAATGCCATGCAGAGGAAGGGTGGGGGGGGGGGGGGAAAGGGGGAGTCACATGGAAGCACTAAAAGTTAAAAAATGGTTTGTAGTGGAAGCAAAATATTAGGTGTTAGCAGTCAAGTTATTAGGTGAAGAGGGTAGAGGGCACAAAGAAGTTTTGAATAGTTTCCTTGGCCACTACAAAAGACTTCTGCACTTGGCAGAAGCAGTTAATGTTTAATACACGAAGACAACTTCCATGTAATATATAATGAGGCCCTAAAAACAATTCTTTCTTCTGGAGAATATCTTATTTTAACTACTACTGTATTTAACATAAAAGTTAGAGAGAAATATTACATACGACATTCTCCTATTTGTAATATGTTTCTTCTTCTTAGATAAACAATGACCAAAACAAGAGGTTTTCTTGGAGAAAGAATCTTGCTAGTGTTGATTTATATATGACTAGTTTCCATGTATTAAGATAATGAGCACCCTGTATGAAGTGATTGTATTACAACTAATATCAAGATGGTCTTATTTGGTGTCAGTAAAAGTCTATTTAAAAATTTATTACTTTGTGGCATGATAAAATCACATGACATTGCAAACATCAAAGCATTTTCCCTGTTAAGGAATAAATTGGCATAAGTTCCAGTGCCAAATTAGCTGTAAAGTGAAGTGAAAGGGAAAGCTGTAATGTTACAATACAGCCAGACTGTTCAGTACTGTACCAAGATTTTATTTGTTATTACTGAGGTGATGTACTGTATGTAAATTCCTTACCAGTTAGCACATGTTCTCTATTCCTTTGTTTAACTGACCATTTAAGACTGTGCTTGTTATCCACTTATGTTTTCTGTTTAAATGTTGGCATGAGTGTAGTAATTTCACTATGTACTGTACTGTACCTTTGTATCACTTGTTATACTGTAGTAACTTGTAATAATTTGAAAAGGGGGTTTTCATGAAATCACATGACATCTATCAAGTTTGATATACAGTATTTTTGTATTATTTTTTAAATGAGATTGTTTACTCGTGAAACCATGGAACCTTGATTATCCTATTTAATTAGGACCAAACCTCTTCTTAAGTATAGTATACTATATCAAGACATCTAAACAATCAAAGTTTATCACAACTGTAAAGCATTTGGTATTTATCACCAAGTAGTTAAGATTGTTCTTCTTGGAAATTGTGGAACATATCTTTGTTTACCTTAGGAGAAAATAGTCCACACACACATTTACAAATTATGTGGGAAGGCATTAAAGAACTCTGCCAAAGAAAGAGATGTAGAGTGTTGGACCTGGATAGATAGTAGACTGCCACCTGAGGATCATGTTAAGGACGTTGTGCATGCTATTCTTTCCAGCTTCAAAATCATTTTTAAATACATGGATGGTTAAAGAAATTGTTCACAACATTCATGAGACATGTTGTAGACATGCTACAAAATGGCTTCTAGAACTGAAAATCAAGAGATACGAGGAGAGGCTAGAGGTATTAAATATGCTAAAGCTAGAAGATATAAGAAAAAGAGGCGATATGGCCACTACATACAAAATAATACCAGGAATCAACAAAATTAACAAGGAGAAATTCTTGAAAGCTGTAACTTCAAGAATAAGAGGTCATAGATTCAAGCTAAGGAAGCAAAGGTGTCAACAAATATTACAAAAAAGTGGTAGACAGTTGAAACAAGTTAAGTGAGAAGGCAGTGAATGCCAAAACCATCAGTAGTTTCAAACCATCATATGAAAGAGTTCTGGGAAGATGGGACACCATGAGCAGAGCTATAATCCTGTAATTGCACACATACAAATTACAGGATTATATATTTACAAATACATATGATTACAAATACACATACATATACATAAACTACATTTTAAATATAAAACTTGTGTAAATATGGAAAAAACTGCATTGCAGTATGTACTGCATTTACTAGTACAGTACTTACATTAACAAATAATCTATTTACTAGCCGAGTTGGCCCAATTTCAGACTATCATTATAATCCAAGTCCCCTATCACAGAGTAACAAAGCTTTCCACTGGCAAAGTCTTTCTGGACCTTCAAGGTTTCTAAAGTATCTTAATTCGGATATGCAAGGTTCCACCGTTTAGTAGGCCTACTAGTAACAATGTTTATTGTAAAAATATTCTTTCATCTACAGAATTTGCTACAAGTTTTCTGAAATGATTTGATTGAAAGCCCCCATAAATAACATTGCTTATGCTTGGTGGACTGGTGTTCATTGTCTATTGTCTGTGTCATCTCATGTCCAAATTAATTTTCATTTGAATCAAAATGAATAAATTTTGACATTTGCTAGAGTTTTTTGTTTAGTAACTAATTATAAAAGTAAAACAAAATTCATCTTTAATGGATGTGATATGACTCGGACATAAATATACCCACATTTTGTCTTTACTAATATCTAAATGTTTTTTGCTTCTAGGGGACGGACGGTATTCCAGGGGTTGAGGTACTAATATGGATAGTGTTTTACTCCAATGCATGCGTCTTGAGTACAGATAATTTACTTACTTATAAATACAGTAAAACCAATAAAAAAATATTAGGTATTATACGATACATAAAATAGTTCCTGCTCTCCCTAAAATTTTAAAATTTATTTTTCATTACAATATTTATAGCGTTGTTATTATTATTATTATTTATCTCATTTCTCAGATATGTAATAAGGAGGCATATATAAGATTAGGGGGACATACTATAACAAAAGGGGCATAGACATTAAATAATACCACTTGAACTTCTTATATTTTATCAAATCTTTCCCTGTTTATTACAGGATTTTGTAGGCCTTAAAACCATGCCTGTAAGAGTATATTTTTATAAGAACACGTGCTGCTCTTCAGCATTTATATTAGGGCCAGTCAGCTATCAAATGATTAATGTTGTTGTTTTAAGAAGAGTCTTTATGAAATGGTCATTAACATACGCTTTGAATTTTTATTTTTCGTTAACTGCATTTTTCATCTTGCGTACCTGAAATCTTTTTTGAAGAATTTTGTAGATCATCATTTTAACAGTAGAAATAGACTCATTCTTTGATATTACAGTACTGTACTGTATTGTACTACTGTATTGTACTACTGTATAGCATTTATATAAATAATACATTCTGATAGAGTTTCTGCTTTTTAAACAGTGGATCATATAATTGCAGATCTTCTTTTATTTATTTATAAACAACTTAATGTCTTGAATTTTAATTCTTAAATTTAAACAAATTTTTTAGATATTCTACTACAAAAATATTTGAAGTACATCACTGAATTTGTAATCATATTTTTCATTACAATATAAACCTTATTACCCCTAATGTTATGGGAGAGGAAGTATATACAGTTAAAGGTGAGTGAACATTAAACAGACAAATGGAAAAATTATTGATGAATAGAAAGATAAAAAGTTAAGTGGATGGATAGGAACACATTTCCTTGCATTACATTTGAGCCTAACGATTTCGGAATTGTCATTTCAGTATTCAAATGTATATTTAGGCCCCATTCAGCATAAATGCACTTCGTAATTTTAATATATGTTATAGTAATAACATGTAAAATAGGAGAGAATGAAGATTATGAACCTGGGGATTGGGAGGTTTCGCGAAGCAGACTCGGAATAGTAGGAAACAACATGTCTAAATTATCTTTAATAAATTTGTTAAAAATCATTTTGAGTAGCATCATATTGCAAAGCTTTGTGCTTGAAATGATATATGATACCCTGGAATGGTCTTTCCTTTAGTGTGTAAGATTTTCTCTTCATAATATGCAGTAGAAAAAACTTTTGCTTTGACTACCATATGGTGACAAAGCATGGGGGGTCACAAATGGTCATTGCATGCTTATGCTTTGCACTTGGAAATGCTTGTCTTGTGGTTCAAGATAATAAATATACAAAAGGAGTGCTCCCCTTGTGTATGGGTGGTTCATGTCTCTGTTGACCTTTTATTATGAAGCTTGTATGGTGCGACACTTTCTCAGGCTCAGTCTTTGAAGGTTGTTATTTGTTATTTTCATATCTTTCCTGCACATCCTTTTCTTGTTTTCACCTCATTATAAATTAGCTTTAGTCTTATTGATGATTGTTGTATTTTTGCTTTAACTGCTGTATGAAGTTTTATTCTTCCCCATACCTCTGTTTTTCTTTTTTATTTTAAAATTTTCTATATCATTATCCTATATTCTAATGCTGTAGTTATCTTTTGTGCAAATCTGCATTCACCCATCTTTTGTGTACCTCAGGATGCTACAACACATTGTTCTCACATTTTTTACAAGTAAAAATGATTATAAGCAAATAAGGACATTCAAATGTTTAATACTGACACTATTATTCAGAAATTCCCAGCAAATGATTGAAGTCTTATTACATATTGTGAGTTCTGACCGTGTAGACAAGATAGGCAATATGTCCTTGTTAATTATTGTGAGAACTGATCGTATAGAGAATATAGACTGTATGCAGGCGAAGAGTCACAATAACGTGGCTAAAGTATGTCGACCAGACCACACACGAGAAGGTGAAGGGATGATGACGTTTCGGTCCGTCCTGGACCATTCTCAAGTCGACACAATCGACTTGAGAATGGTCCAGGACAGACCGAAATGTCGTCATCCCTTCACCTTCTAGTGTGTGGTCTAGTCAACATATAGGCTGTAGTTTCTTTTACACTGTTATTGCAGAAGTATTCATGATCTGTTTATATGCTCGTTGATTTTAGTACTCTGTTTTAACATGCCTGTTGACCTGCCCATTAATATTGGGCAACCAAAATAATAATAATCATCCAGGCAATTTTAGTTTCATTTAAAGATTTTTACAGAAAAAGAAGAGCTGAAGGTTATTCTGGCATATCTAGTACAATATCTAAAGTGAGAAGTGTATTAAAATAATGACATTGCAGTAGTTCAAGCATGATCACATGCCCAGTTTTCACCTATACTAATGATATAAGCTCCGGGGGTTCAAGTAAGCTCTCATACTCGGTGTCACGGTGAACAGAAATATGAAGAATTATGCATTGTAGCTTAAAGAACATAAAAAACAGATATTAATCAAATCTTATAATATCATATCCCTGTACAAATAGAAGCTTATATACTCATGCATTTCAATTTCTGGAAGTTAATAGTGCACTGGATATAACTACACTACATCATGTACTGTAGTGTTAATACAACCTTGCATCTAATTGCATGGTCATATCTGCTGTAACTAGCAAGTAATATAGTTACACAAGTGGCAACGTCTACGCTTTCCTGAAATAGTGTTTAAATGTTAAGTAACTTGATATGTTGACAACAAATTTAATATATACCAACAGCTTGTGCTTAAATAACATTTGATGGGAAATGCTGATTAACAATGATGCAACTTTCACTGTAAAAAGTAATGACAACTTCAGGCAAAGCCAGCTTGTTATCTGATTTGTGTATGTCATCCTTTCATTCTCAGGGTCCAAAGGGAGAGAAAGGGATGAAAGGGGAACGGGTAAGTAGTTTTCTTAAATATTATGGCTTTTGGTTTTATTTTTAATCTTTTATAGATAAAATATTTTATTGAATTGTGTTCACTTCTTTATCAAATAAGATTGTGTTATTTCCTGTTTGTGATTATTGTAATTTTGTTTCATTTTGCCTAGAGAAGTAAAGCAAAAGTCCTGTGTTATCTTGCTCTCTGATCCAGTCACATATAAAAAGAACATAAAAGTCCCAGTAACTAAATATTAAGCTGAAATATGTTCCTGTTGATATTGGGCAACCAAAATAATAATCATTGAGGCTATTTTAGTTTTATTTAAATATTTTGTAGAGAATAACAGCTGGAGGTTATTCTGTCCGTTATAAACTTAACCATCTTGTCTGCCTATGAGGGAAAGGTACATTAGTATAGCGACCTGAATATGAAATTTAATGTTACAAGCATCCAAGAATTATAACGAGAATAAGATTACAATATCAATGCTGTATTTGTAAACATAACCATGTAATTATAGGATCTACTTTGAAACTACCATTCAATTTATTAAAATGGCATTATTAGGTTTAACAAATCATATGTAGTAGCTTACCGATAGATACTTTTTAATATTCTTAACAAGTCTTTAAATCTACCAGTAGAGAGTAGAAATAATTTCTCACTGCGAAGAAAAGACCAAGTTGAATTTTAGTTAAAGCCTTGGAATTTCCTTTAAAATATTCAATAGAATATGCGGGCAAGGAGAAATAATTTATATTTGAGCAACTGAAGGCCTATACAAGTGAATTACCTTTATCAACTTATGTACCCCAGACCAGTGATTGGTACTCACATTATCCACTCAGGCACAGCTTGTTGAGACCATGAAAAGTCAAATCATTGATGACATTCACAGAGTCCACTTGTTCATTTGTAAATTGTTCATGAGACAGCAGGCACCGTTATGAAGCCTTGAATGTACAGTATCTTCTAATAAGGATCCAAGTACTTCAGTCACATTCATTCTCGATTCCCAGTTGGGAGTTCTGGGTTTGAATCCTGGACAGGGCAAAAAATGTGATAGCTTTTTAAAGGGCTGAGTTCCAAGAGAATAGGCATGCATGGTTGGGTACATTTCCTATTACCTAATTGCCTCTGTTCACCTAGCAATAAATAGGTACCCTTAGTAAGCTTGTTAGTAAGCTTGCTGTGGGGTTGCATCCTAGGAAAGGTCAGTAATTCGACCTTAGGGTTGGGGGAGACCTCGATATATGCCTAACATGTAACATGTAAAGTTGTACCATAATACAATAAATTGTTATTATTATTAAACATACTAGTAAGCCCTCATCATGAAATAAGTCATATGACACAAGAATAATGACCCTTCCCCCACCTATTACATAGTGCTGGAAAGATGAAATAACCTTTTGATGGGTTTAGTTTTAAGAAATGGAATGTGTTAACACAATATATTTTGCTTTTTGCAATCTTTAGTTCACTTAAAATATCAATTGTGGAACGTATTGCTCGCATATTATGTATGCAGCTTGGGGACCATTTGTATTTTAGTTACTGTTTTGCCTTTGGGATAAAGAATGTACTGTAACTGTATTTATCTTAAGAAGTTAGATTTAGGGTGTATCCACATTATTCATTCACCCAAAACTACTTTTTAAGGACTAATTATTGCTGATGCTGCAGGGTCGTCGAGGACGACGTGGAAAGCTTGGGCCTAAAGGTGACATGGGTGTGCCAGGGCTTGATGCTCCCTGCCCAACTGGGCCTGACGGACTTCCTCTGCCAGGTTGTGGATGGCGGCCTGGACAGGTAAAGGAGTAAATTTTAAACGTTTGTCTTGGGTGTGCAAATTTAAAAGATGTATTGCATATTAAAGTAAAATCATATAATAATTAGTGTGTCTGTTTGCTCACCTAAACATTGAGATAATAGTACAGTACAGTACAGTATCTTGATATCTCGACAATTTTCATTACTATTTGGGTGCTTGTGGTTTAAGTATTTAAAGTTTTTATTGCAGCTTAAGGATTGATTGGTGTTACAATTAACAGCTATTATTCTTTTGCATGGTTTTAAAATTTAACATTCTTTCATACACTTAGGAGGCAACATATATGCAAAACTCTTCCTCACAGTTTTAGAAACCTTGATGTACAAAATGGAACCATGTACATGCAAAACTGTGCTTTTCAAGTCTATACTGAGTGGTTAGTTTACTATATAAGATAGTAATGTGCATATAAAGTCCCATCATGTGTTAGTAATTCAACGGTTATCTGAACTAGTCAGGACTGAACACACCTGAATAATTGGCAAAGTTCGCATAACTGACTCCACTACGTTTACACGAGGGACCATTTTCTTTACATGTTGCAATAGTATTTCTCTGATGATTTTGGTACTGGTTGCAATTTACAGTGGAATTACATGTTGGTTATGATTTGTGCACATGTTTGTACCTACCTGTAGTTCTGTATACAAGAAGTGAACTATGCTTATGGTGTCTCATCTTTGTACTGTTTTGTCATTTATCATTGTGTTGGCAAATGACTCATTGATTGGGTTCTTTTTTCTTGCATTTATGGTGTACAGTATTAATAAGTGCCAGTACATCATCATCAGTTCCTTCTTAAACCTTAAAAGACCACATATTTTATTAGGCAATGCAGAAAGCAGTCAACAATGACCATCAATAGAAACTAGTAAGAACCAGAACAGTATTGCATTCTTCCACTAGGATAGATGTCAAATATTTTTTTCTTAACACCTGCAATATAGGGCAGCCAATATAGGGGTCGTGAACAAAATATCTGCTAACCCTCATCACTAGCACAACTAACATCAACAAGGTTACCTCAGAGTAACTTGTAGTAATTATGACAAAGTACTTGTAGGTGAAACATCTAGAAACTTAGATGTGAGGATTTATGAACATAGTATTACATGTAACAACATAACACATACTGGTACTTACCAATGCTTGTCACATACAGGAACCATGACAAATATCTCATAAACTTTAAGAATGCTAAACTTATCATCAAAAAAGATAACTTTTAGAAGGCAGTGTATATAATCTCCAGCTATTAAATACAACTACACCATCAAACAGTCGAGGAAATATTAGCACTGCAACCCCTCTTACACATTAGTGCTTCAGAAATATCAATTGTGCCTACATAACCTCACTGCACCTTCACCTATCTGACCTCAGATTGGTAATTTTCATAGATCAGAAGCAGCAGAGACTAAACCCAATGGGTTCAGTGCTTGCTACTTCCCTCTAATTTTACCTCTCACTGTGATGGTTTCATATCTGTCAGGTACTTCTTTATCTGGTGAAATATGCTTTCATTTATTCCTTCTTACTTTTCCACCTTTTATACATGACATTAGGAAAAGATTTTATTGAGAGCCTTAAGAGATTCAATCTACTCAGTCACCTGTCTTGGTCATCCTGTTGTTAAACTTTATTTGGTTTACCCTCATAGCAGCTTGTCACAGTGCTTTGTGACAAGTTCACAAAGCACTGTGGCAGGTTCTGTTGGTAGGTTCATTCAGGTATCTGGTAGGGTGCCCCCTTGCCATACTGGTCGCTTGGGGAGAAGCAAGAGCAAAACTGATTGTGGTTTTGCCACCAATGTTTTCAACATCCATGGAGAATCATAGGTTCCCCTTTTTCCCTTCATTTGGATTGATGAAGCCTACCTTCATCTGAACCTACCCTCAGGTCCCCCAGTTTTGTTTCCATTACACATACTGAAAGTTGAGTCATGGCAATTTCTCTTCTCCATTGTATTTGTATTATTTCTTAGATGAAGGCTTGAAACACTATCAATTGACGGGCATTGCTGACCAGATTGATTCAGTCCTCTGGACTGAAAATTTTGTCTGCATATTATTTGAAATTCAGGACAGGTTGATTGAAATTAATTTATTATTATGCATTATGTAGATGCAATTTGGAGACTTTAGGTAAATGCCTGTAAGTTAATGGAAGGCATTTGTAAAGAAACAGCAATGTATGAATCAATCTAATCATTTAGTGAGAACATCAAAATATCAGTCTTTGGGTAATGAAAGGTTCATAGTATAATCTACTATTTCCCTATTGGCAGTTAAGTCACGCTAATATAATGTATCTTACAATATTAAAATTACTCAGGAATCTGTTGAAATGAACACCACAGTGAATTTTCTTTTTATTGAAATCATTTATCCTAATATAATGCCATCCTGTCTATCCAGAAAGAGAATCATAAATAACTGGTTAAATGGAAACACCATGCATATTACTAACCTTTATTACATGTTCTGCTTTGCTTTTTGGTTATGTGAATGTACCATTAACATAAGTATCACAAATAATTGCTGATAAGGTGAACACTTTAGCAGTGCTTTAAACAAGAATTTACCAAATGCTCACCATACAACAGGGTAAGAATATTATCCGACCCATAAGTGTGGGAATTGGCAAAGGAGGGACTCCCATTGATGTATTCCCCCTTGAGTCACCGGTCACACCTTCCACCACTCCACCTTATGAGGACTATGAGGAGGACTATGAGGATGATGAGGCAGAGGACTCTTTGAAATGAGATCCTCCACTAACTAACTAACACTCCATCTGTCCTCCTGAGTGAGTGGTCATGTGAGTTGCACAACATCAGCTACTTCACTCCTGTATGATTTAGATATTTTGAAGAATCAGTTTGGCAGTGAGCATTGTTATAATGAAATCTTTGTGTAATTACCAACGGTTCATTGGTATGTGTTGCTGCAGAGTGGCAAAAGCCGGGAGAGTAGTGCAGTTTGCAGCACGTGTCATTGCACAACTTAAGTTTGTGTTGCAACATGCATGTTGAATTTATTGATCTTAATGTGAAGTATTGATGTTTACAAATAAGAGTGAATGGTGGTTACTGTCTTCTGTAAATAATTTGGCATTTAAATTTGTTTTACTATTTTATAATTAGTTTGATTTAAAGCACATAATGCCTTTGCCTGGATATATAGATTCAATATGCTTGAAGTACACACAGGTTACACACAGAAATCACAATAGCGTGATGCATCAAATGAACAAATCCACAAGGGTCATGACGAGCATTCGAACCTACGTCCGAGAGCATCCCAGACGCTGCCTTAAATTAATTGACTGAGCTATGACATGGTCGAAAGAGTTGAAACCAGAAGTTCCATTGAACTTACTTGGATCCTGCAGCCTCTCCGAGACACAAACCAGGGTTTTACACAACTCCCCCATGCACTCGAGCTATGTCAATAGGCAGTTCTACCTCTTCGCCCTTACTTACTTCACCCAATGAAGTAAGGGCGAAGAGGTAGAACGGCCTTTTGACATAGCTTGAGTGCATGGGGAAGTTGTGTAAAACCCTGGTGTGTGTCTTGGAGAGGCTGCAGGATCCAAGTAAGTTCAGTAGAACTTCTGGTTTCAACTCTTTTTGACCATGTCATAGCTCAGTCGATTAAGGCAGCGTCTGGGATGCTCTCAAACGTAGGTTCGAATCCTCATCACGGCCCTTGTGGATTTGTTCACACACAGGTTATCACTGTATGTATGATAAAACTCTCCAACAGAATAATTGAAATGTTCTTTTATTTAGTTACAACACAATCTTACTGACCTAAATTTAGAATGCTTGCATGGTAAAAAAATGAGTAGATACTTAAAATTAAATGCTTGATGAGTCTGCATGTTAGACAATGAGTGTGTCAGTGTCGATCAATATTAATGAAATCATGTTACTTGACCTTCACTTAGGTGCACTGTATATTTATTACTGAAATGTTGACAGAAAATACTAAGTGGTCAATATATGTATGTATAATGCTTTCTCAATGTGACATCTGTTCATTTTTCAGTCTATTTAATTATGCAAGCTTCTATTAATTTATAATGCGCATGGGTATTATATTTGTAAGAATTCTGTATACCCAATATTGTGTGTTTATATACTGTGTGTATGTGTGTGTGTATATATATATATACACACACACACACGCACGCACGCACGCACGCGCGCGAACGAGGGTGTCCCAAAGTCTGCCCTCTCTCCCCATGGAAAGAAAAAACCTCAAGGATTTTTTAAATATAATTGTATTAATTATCAGTTAGAATACATGTTGAAAATGACATCCATTCACTTCAAAACATTTTAGAACGCATTCAACACAAGACCTGTGATCATTTCTAGACGTGGACATACTTGGTTTTATGGCTTCAAATTCTCTTGTTCTCTGGCCCAAGTTTTTGGCACACCACACTGTATGTATTTATATATGTAAATATATACAGTTTTTCTCTAATACACATGTCATTAAACATGACAGCATTGTGACTATTGTTCATTTTCTTAAGGATTTTTTCCATTCTACGTAAATAACTTCTACCATCTAGAGGGTGAAGAAACACTAGATCATTTATCCATTTTATTCTTTGACGTTTTGTCAGCATTGAGACATCTTCAGGCATACACACTATGCACAGAAGACACAGGTATACTGTGTCTTCACAGGAATATACAAGCATGTATATACACAGGAATACACAGGCATGGTATATATTTCTGAAGATTTCACATTGTTGGTGAAACGTCGAACAATATACTGTAATGGAAAGATGAAATGTTTCTTCACCCTCTAGGTGAAAGAAGTTATTTATGTAGAATGGAAAATATCCATAAGAAAATGAACTTTATGTCCCATTGCTGTTGTGTTCAATGACATGTATAAATTTAAAAAGTATACATATTCATAAGTATCCACAAAGGAAAACATAAAACCAAAATTCCGAGTGTTTCGTGTTTCAACACATTATCAAGGCATACAGAGAAGAAATGTGTCTGGGATTATGTACCCTCACTACACCTGAGTAGATAAAGATGTGTAAACAAAAATATAAAATAATGGAAGTGACATGAATAAATATGTTAAAAAAATAACACGTTTGGAATTGTTTTTTCGTTTTTTATTCCTACGTGGATACTTACGCATAACTGAATCACATGTTTCGTGTCATTATTATTGCGCATATATACTGCATACACATAGTACAATATCTCAGGTGTAAAGCTCATATGGTCCCCCAAGCCTGTGTATAACTGAACACTATGAACCATGGCTATGATTATAATATTGATTTGCCAGCCAGAGGGTATGGTTCTCTGGCAACTAATGTTTAAGTCCTGGAGGGGGGGTTGTCATACAGTTTACAGTTGATTGTATTTATTCAGGTGTTTTTTATAGGCTTTGGTGCATGGGAATCTTCAAGTGATATTTTATATGCAGTTCAACAATACTGTACTGTATAGGTTTTTTTATATTTATTTTTGTGAAAATATTTGGCCAAATTCTTTGTATATTTATATATCCATCAAAGACATTAAGAGTTTAGTTTAATCTTGAAGCTAAATTAACTAACTTCAAAATTAACTTGCATTAGAATAATGAACAGTAATCTCCATAGAATTTATACCAAACTTATGACTTTCCAACATTTGCAGAGTTACGAGGAACTGCTGAACCGTCACTAGCCTGGGGTTGAATGGTATGGTGCAGCAGTATTCACTGAAGCAGATCCAGGGGGCACATACACGCGCTCACACACACACACACACACACAAAGACAGTGGATAGGGGTAAAGGCTTAGAACAATTGGAAGAAAATGAACAAAAACTTGAAAAATGGTTGACAGAAATCTTCCAGAAAATTTGGACAGCCATTTACAGTGCTGCCATATATCTCCTGTGGTTATCAGGTGTTGGCATCGTACCAGAATCCTGGGTCAGGCTTTAGTTCAAGTGAATGTGTGTGGAAATATTGGGATAAGTGTTGGCCACAAGCTTTGAATCCAACCCCAGCTCCCCCCCTGTATATAGTGTACAGAAGTTTGTACTGTCCTTGGTCCACAGTGACTGTGTATAGCGAGTTTTTTTTTTTTAATCTTTGGTTCTTATTTTTTCTTTCTATTTCTTCCTCAGTGTTTATCTTGAAACTGCAACATAGGAACACCTCCAGTGAACATTGTATAAACTTTAACAACCATTGTTATCATAGAATTGGTTATTAACAAATTACAAATGGGACAGTGTAAGATTTAAACCTTGTTTCATGGTACAGTGAGCATTATGTGAGTATAATTAGATATCTTTAGGAATTTCTGATAACCAAATCTGAGAAGTGAACAATTGGTGAAGTTACCTACAGCATTCATGTGTGTTCTACTCTGGGCTAGCAAACATATGTTATTTCATTACTGCAATAGTTAAGTAATTGTTATACAATATGTTCTCCTTTTATGTTAAAAGGTATGCACCTATTTTAATGCACTTATTTTTTTATTTTTTTTTTATTTTTGGACCACAGTTTTCAATACTAATGAATGTTATTATTGGACAGATAAGGAGTCGTCTTGGAAGTATGACAACCAATAGTAAGAAGTCATTATATAAAATTTGTGCCTGCCACAATGTTTAATTGGTAGAAATGACAAGATTTCTAGAAAAATAGCTTTTTCCATTTAAATTCTACATTGAATTTTTAAGCCCATTATGAATGCAGGGAAATGTATCAGTGTCAGAAGGGAGCTTAGAATGTCAGAATTGTTCAAAAGACATTATTTGAGAGATGTGTCCAAGCTCAAGTCTGTTACATTGAATTTATTATTATTTATTTTTTGACTAAATGAAGCACATTGATAATAGTTAAAATATGCAGAATGTCAACTGGAATGCACATCTGGTACAGAAAGGAATAATTGTTTAAATTGTGCAAAAACAAAACTATTGAAGTACTCTTAGAGCAGCGTTTCTCAACCTTTGTACCATTACACTCTAAGGGAGGGTCATACTTTAACCCTTAAACTGCGCATGGCATATATATACGCCATGAGTAACATGTCCCACCGTGCGCATGGCGTATATATATATATGCCATAGGGTGCCAGGCACGATTCAAATGGCCCACGGCTACACGGGGTTCACATTAGCTTCCTCAGGACTCTTGTAAACAGACACCTTTTTTTTTTAAATCGTGGGCAATATTCTCCAGTGTGAGAGGCACAGTACTGTTGGAGCAACCGAGGATGGCGCACGCAGCATGCGCGAACAGCATTGCTGTTCAGCTTGTGACCACAGCATCGCCAAAAAATGTCAAAATAAATATATAACTGCTATTATTTAGCAATGACAATATTACAGAGGACCCCTGACTGTGATAAAAATGACCAGGATTGTGATAATAGCAGCATTGTTGTGATAATTAGTGCTGTGGGAGGAGTGATGATGCTGAGGGACGGAGGGAGATGGCATTGTTTACTGACTGTGTGGCCACCTGTTATTGTCTGCATTTACCATATCAACTTAGTGGTTCTCTATGGTGAACACAAATATAGATACTTCTATATAATGTGTGTATTAGTGTAATAACAACAAAAGGATTATGTTTGGAGGAGCCATTTGGGTGACGGAGGTGACGTCATCTGCATGATTTGTCTGGCTGTGTAGAGGGTAGCCACTGTGCTCTTTGGGCACTCGACAAGCTTAGGTGTACAGTTACGGTGCATACAATATGTAGATACTTATATATAATATGTGTATATAGTGTAATAACACTGCAAACAGTATTGTTGGGGGAGAAAGTTTAGTGCGTGTGACCTTGAATGAGTGTGGGAGCCGCCAGCTGACTGTGTGTATAGCGACGACTCTTAGTGCCTGAACTAACATTATCAGCTTAGTTGTACAGTTGTGGTGAACAAAACATGTAGATACTGTCCTTATATATAATGTCTGTATATTGTGAATAAAGTATAAAACAGGATGGTGGGAGGAGAAAGTGGGCGAGTGAGGCTTGAGGGAGTGAGTGGCAACGAGTGGCTGGCTGGTGTGTGGCGGTCACTCCTCGTTGCTTTTCGACTCATAATACCAACTTAGTGGTTCGTTATGATGACCAAAACATGCAGATACTTATATATAACCTGTGTATAGAGTGTAATAACAGCAAAACTATTTGTTTATTGTTTTATGAACATAATAATTGAATCACTAATATGCACACCATACTTTT